AAATTCTTTAAGAAATTGTTGCTATGTGCATGGTTGTATAGCTCCTGTATATTTTTATTCTTTTCTGGCTAAAACCAGGTTTCATCTTATTTTCAGGATATATTTCATGTTTCTTTATGTTTTTTATATCTTAAAAAGTAAGATTCATAACACTGTGCGACACATTCCCTGTTTGTGTGTGTTGAACCCGTACCTGTGAGGTGCGTGTGTACTCCTCATACAAAGAGTCGTACTCGCGGCTCTTTTCCTGGTACTGCTCATGATAAACTTTCAGCTGCTCTCCCACCTCCTCGATGCTGTTCTCCTTAACCAGCTGCAAAAAGCAGGTGAAAGCAACATCACCAATTTGATGCTTGAAACAATAAAACACAACTCAAACAGTGATAATTATCATTCATACAAATGTGTATGTTTGGGAAGTGAATTTGAAGACTCACACAGCAACCAACAAACTGCTATAAAATCTGCAGCATCACAAACCTGCTGGTATTTTGAGACCGGGTACAGAAGCTTGGTGTCCAGCTTGGCGTTGTACTGAGCCAGAGACTCGTGGCGGTAGTGATTGATGAGCTCCACTACAGACAGAAAGGTGAGAGGCTCCGAGAAGCCGTACCTCCCATCTCTGTGGTAAATCTTGATGAGCTTGTTGTTCCCCCCTTTCCTGCAGGGGGAGACAGAAGCCAAATGAGAATGAAAATTAGTTTTTCTTTTACATAGACTGGAGATAGTATGACAGTTTGCAGAAATACAGTTTAAAAAAGAAGTGCTGTTTTACCTGAGGGTGAGAGTGTACTCGCCCTCTAGTTTACTTGAGGCATCACGGACAAGAAAGGTGCCGTCTGGAGTGTCTCGCAGCTTCTCATTCACTTCCTCTCTGCAAACAAAGCAACATATTCATTTCATTAACACTAACTCAGCTGATACTAAACCACAAAACAAGGCCTTCTGTAAGTTCTTACATGTATGTTGTGCTGCTAGTGCACACAATAATCTTATTTACTAAAAATATCAAGTGGTTCCACCCATAGTCCCTCCTAGGTCAAAAATGAATTTTCAGAGGGCCTGTGCTCCTGCAGTGTGTTTCCTTAACGACAGGTCCTTAGCTTGTGGCTATCAAAAGCTTATATATTGCAATTAATGGCTTAAAGCTACCCTTTCTGTCAAAGACAGAATACTTTAATCACAGGTGAAGTGCGTGGTGGGCCTCCACAAAGAGTCTAAGGTAAGTGAATGGGAATGAAAAGATGACAAATTATCATTAGTAATATAATTACCTCAGTGATACAGTAGTTTTGGGAAAATTTGCAATTTCAGTCAGAATCTAATAAATGCCCAAGAGGACAGACCTTTTGTATGGTCTGATTACTTGGTCTGAAGGTTTTTCAAAAAGCAGCATTAGCCTTAGCTTTGCTTGACTGTTGAGTGTCTATGTGATCAAAAAACATCCAGCCATCTAGAAAGTCAGGTGAGGTCTCAGACTTTGAAATGGATGGAAACCTCATTAACTCTGATCAATTGCTCTCTTAACAGTTACAGTTCACTTTCGGGTTTTACCTGGAGATTTCCCCCCAGTACCACTCAGCATCATTCAGCAGGCTGCTTGTGTCCGTCATGGCTGATGGGGCCATTTTTGACTTGACTGGCTTTGCGGGAAGAACTACATAGAAACACGCACATAGACACACAGAAAATAAAACCAGTCAATACATAACTCACCAGGAAACTGCAAACAAGTATAAAGTTGTCTGATAAACAGATTATATGCTATTGTGCTATGGGGTAAAATAAACATTCTAGTCACCTGGAGGAGTAAGGTCCTGCTCCATAGTTCTTTCTATCAACAGTCTCTCCACCACTAGGGCAGGGAACTTCTCATCAAGTGATAACCTATGGAGCAATCGACCACAACAGTTTGACATACAATGGCTGATATATTTAGTACACTCATCTAGAAAAACTGCCGAACAGAAGAGAAAATTCCAAGATCCCTGATCCCTCTTCATCATTTCAAATTCACACACTCTCACATTTGTTTATGTATATCAGAAAGAAATATGTACCATGGAGTAGAGGGGCCTGTCCGGATAAGCAGTGGTCCAAAGATCATTCCCAGTGTGTGTGTGTCCAGGCCATTGCTGGCCTGCACCTGGGTGACCTTGGCCAGGTGTGTGAGGAGGTATTGCAGGGTGAGACGGTTGTGGAGAGGGACGGCGGTGGAGCTCTCAAGGACCAGGCTTACCTCTCTGTCATGGCTGCCAGCGACTGCACCATCTGTAACAGTGAATCAAATAAACACAATCACAATTATACAATTACATCAAATCTCAGGAATGTCAGTAAAGCTATTAAAAAAACATCCTTATATCTTTAATCTGATCTAGAGTGTGGTCTTTTTCAAGCAATGACAATCATGGTCAATGAGGTCTGCGCATGTTTCTGTAAATAGATCTAGTATACAGTGTATATCTGTAATGAAATCATGGCCTCCTCTGTACAAAGGAGAATCAGAAGCATTTCTAACATGCCACAGTGAGCTCATCCTCTCCCGACACTTAACTCTACTCTCTCAACGCTGACATGCGACTGACCTCGATCACCAGCAAACAACTCTCAGCTTTGGCCTAGTGCAATTCTTTTACTTCAATTACAGCCACTGAAGCAATGAAAGTTGTCTTTCTCTTCACATCAACACAGATCAACTTAATTTGTTTTCCAGGATTAATTGGATTAGATTTAGAGCAGTCAGGAATGATGTAACTTCAGTTTTTCTTTTAAAGGACTATTCTACAGAGTATACAGTGGGTTCTTATACTGATAAATGTATATTTTTTGTATATGTTCCTACAGAAAGCTGCTGATTTCAGTTGAACATGTATGATGACATCCTCTTGCTGAGTCTTGAATTGACAGGAGAGCTCCCCAAAAGAAAAGCCAAAGTACCCCAATGACCACCTGGTGGCTGCCTGCGTTATAGGTCATAAATCCCACCTCCTCCATGTTAGTGGAAGGGGCATGGACCAAATACACTTCAAATTAATTTTTCTCAAAAATGTTTTCTGTGGTTTTATGTACCTATCACACACTTTGTGTTCATGTTTCTGATAAGTTTGGTTTTAATAAGTTATTTGATGCATCAATGGGACCTTGCGCCCACGACCCCATCCCTCGACTGCTGCTGCACAGACTGGTTCCAAATGTGCAAGATGGCAGCCTTTCTATTCTGAATATTTTCATTTCTGGATAGTGGTAGAAAGTGGAGATGTGTCGTCCATCTTTATATACAGACTATGGTTTTTAGACAACCAACTAAACTTCTGTTTACAGTTTGATTTCCAAATACACTGATTAATCAAACAAGACAAGACTTGATGGCAGCTGACTATTAACTGAGGACAGGACGGCATAATGTTGCTACTTATTGTAAAAGAATATGGTACAATCATATCCATAATAGTCAGCAGTAACATACAGAAACTGTAAGTAAAATGTCCTAACTGTCTATTAAAAAGACATTTCAAAAAGACTGTCCTAATGAGAAGAAATAAAACAGTTGAAATGTTTAAGTGTCAGCTTGAAGTATTTCCTCATGAGATGAGACCGACCTGCTGACTGTTGTAGGACCTGCTGCTGCAGCGTGACAACAGTCTGAAGGTGAGGGTAGATACAGGCCGGGATGACAGGTGATGGAAGGTCTCTCAGGTAGTGCAGGACACACTCAGAGAGGTAACCCACGTCTTTCTGAATCGCGTCACTCTCTGGACCAGAAGACACAGAATACAGAGACATTTAGAGGCAAATTCAACCATAATCGATCAAATCACTAAATATAAACCTGTTAGACATTTTGTTTCGTTGACCGCACTGGTTGAGGAGATCTTTAAAGAGGCAGGGCTATGATCTGAAGGTTGTAAGGTCATTTGGCAATTATGAACAGGCAGGGGAGACATACCATTGAGCTACTGACTGGCTGATAGCAGTAGACTATCGCTGTTTCCTGACTAACATTAAATATGGAGGCACAGGTACAAAGCAGCATGCATGCTCTGGAAACAATCAGAAACTAATCGGTTAAATGCTCCGAAAAAAACAATAAGGTATCAAATTAACTCACCAGAGCTCAGGCAGTACACCTGACTGTCTGAACCTGAGGGGGAGCCAACTGTCCTGTACAATGTCATGAAGTCCAGACCTGAGAAATGCAAACTGCATGTGAGTTCTCGGTCACAGACTATGGATAAACGTATCACAGTCACTACAAAGAGTCAATACAAAAAGTTCTAGGCCGTAGCTCACTCCAACTACAACAAAAATAGCAGATACTCTTTGCGAAGGTACTTAGTGAATCACGCCACAGGTAATTGAGCAACAAATGCACAATGCTTTATTTAGATATTGAGCCAGAAGGAATATCAGGAAATAGATACTTGACATCATTTCGCAAGATGGACAAAAGGGAAAATTTATTTTTCAAAAATAACTAGGTTGGTATCTCGTCTCCGAAAGAGCAATTTACTCATTTAAATATTTATTTGTGATTTGTCAATCTTGGGAGGACTTACTCAAAATATGTAATGCTGTAAAAAAAACAACTTGTTCACACATGTTTTTATATGGGTAGTATTTATATCATATAAATACTCTGGCGACGATGTTGTTGGACTGTGTTGTTTGTATTGGAAAGAAAAATAAAATGAAAATCCAAATTTAAAAAAGTAAGTAGATACTCAACCCACAACTTTTATGACCAGTTGGTCGGTGTTACTGTGTGAGCAACAACGTGGACACGACTGAGCGTGTGTCACCTGTTTTCATTCTGGTCTCAAATCCAATAACAGAGTGAAGGTAAATAATCAAATGGGGGGAGAGTTGCTCCTGAAAATGTTTCTCTACAACCAATATTTACTAGAGAGGGGCCAACAAATGTTCCTCTGTTAAGTGTTTCATTTCTTTTTTTTTGGGTTCTTTTATCGTGGAAAATGTGGTTTAAAGCCAGACACAGCCCAGAAAATATAACAACTCTGCAATCTGAAATCCTGCGTCATGAGATTCTTTTCAGCAGATTGTTCCACGAGGAAGAGAAACATTTCAAATATCCTATGAAACTCTAACTGAAGAAAACTCAAATGAATATATCACAGATTTCCCATACAAAAAAGCATTTTAGAAACACTGGGTCTAGACAGCTTGCATCTAGGAGACAATTCCTCGAGACAAGGCCGTCTCTCAGGTAGCTGTGAAAACCAAACTATGCAGTCAGAGCGTGTGTGCATCCAACATTGGGAAATAAGTCTCACTGCAACATTTTAGTTCAGAGGCAGGCTTCCTGTCGCCAATCTAATATAGACATTTTGAAATCTTTACTTGTATAACAAATCATTTTGGTGGATTTCTCTCGACCAGAAGGACGACAGGGAGGATCTGATTATCTGCAGTACTCCTTTCAGTTTTTATTTTTTGAGTGGCATTAATAACTTTATGAACAGACTAAAGCTGTGACCTAATTTCACACCACAGGATTAGAGTACGTACATGTGCTCACAATGAAAATGCCAGAAATTTAGTATCCTCAAAAAAAGTTTACAAGCTCACAAAATGCTTGATTTTAGAGTGATCTGTTGACACCAATAATCCAGAGGCGGTGAGACGGCTACAGAGAAATCTTAAAGGTCAAGAAAAAAATATTCAAACTTCAGACATTCTGCTTTCTCTTACTGTTGAGTATTGCAGTATTTCCTGGATAAAAATATGTTGGTTTCTTGTATCCTGACTGAAGGGACTTTGAATGTTACTGCTACAGTAAGTGCACGTTAATCAGCAGCTACTTAAAAATCGATTCATCATTTTCAAGCAAAAACGCCAAATATTTTTTGGTTTTACATTGTTGTAACTGAGTATATTTGGGTTTTGGACTGTTGGTCGGCAGCAGTTTGAAGATTTAATAATGGCCCCTGAGAAACTGTGATGTATCTTTTAAAAGTTTTTGACATAATCATGTTCATATCATAAAAACTAAATGTAATCTTTAGTTAAAGCCCTGAATAAAGAGAGAAAGAAAAGAAGGTAGATAGAAAAAAAGAGGAAAAACTGTGAATGGAGTCCCACTGAGCTCTATTTGTTAATAACATAGTGTGAACCAAACCCACTGTGCAGGACTCTCAGTGAGGCCAATGAAAACTGCTCTGACTTAAAACCGCATTATGCATCAATGTTGAAAAACTTTATTAAGTCTCCATTCATCTGAGGAGGTCCTGAGAGTACGCACGGTCCTGTGTGTGCACGTTCTCCTCTACATCTGTTTGACTGTCTGACTTCACTCACATGTCTGTGTGTCTACACTTGTGCAAATGCTGGCATGAGAGAGCAAGAGCCAGATGGCGGGAGGGAGACAGTCGCACATAGACGAAAGGCGGGGAGGCGGACAGGGTGTCAGTGAGACAGACGGATACGACGGCAGGCTGACATGGATATACCTCTCTTCTCTATGGCTTGGATCAGGCTGGTGAGAGCTGGGGGAGCCGTCTCAGGCGGTGTGAACTGCTCGCTCAGGTCCAGCACAGAAACAGCTGAAACAACAACACAAATCACTGTTACACTTCTGGCACAAAGCCTCTGAGAGACCATGGGGGTGCTGCAGCACTGACAAGGGTACAGTTAACTAGCAGCAGTTGGAGATACAGAGCGTGTTTAAAGCTGATACTCGATCTACAATCTGTGAAGAACACAAATAATATGATGAGGTGGAGTCACTCTTGCAAAAAGCACACCTGTTTGGCAAAAACCAGAGAGCGTGAGAGTTAGTTTGCAGAGTTTTATGAAACAAAACCTCCTGAAGAGAATTAAAACAGGACTGAAGCGTGTGAAGCACGTTATTGAGCTGGTTTGTAGTCTGGAAGTCTAGCTGATGAGATAAACGATAATAAACCCACAGCAATCTAGTTAACGTACAAAAGAATGAAAATATGCATTATTCAAAGAAGTGAAAATAAAAAGGCCACAAAAAACTGCTGATGGCCGGTAAGAAAAACTTTATCTACTTCACATCTCCCCAAAGACTAAATCAAACATCTTTTCAGTACAAAAGAGAAAGGGAGAAAGCAAGAGGGAAAAGGGAGAGATCCCATTTCCCTCCCTCCCTTTTTTTCTCCCTTTTCTTTTCTCCCCTCTCGCTTTCTCTCCTATCCACCGCTCCGTCCTGCTCGGTGTTTCGCCTTAGCTCTTTGCGTGAGTGGAGCACAATAAAGGATTTAATCAAAACTCCTGAACAAGCAAAAGCCCTGTGGCAGTGTGCCAGACCCGGCCCGACCAGGACAGGCTGCGCCTCCTATTCGGCCCCAGAGCAGTGTGCTGTGAGCTGGGGTTTGAGGCTGGGTGAGATGAGGGGGGGGTGGGGGTAACGCTGGGAGCAGGGAGGGCCTGGCCTGGCCGGGGCTTGGCAGTAGGCTCCTGTTCCTGGCACAGCTCGGCTAAACCGCTGCTGATTATTAATTTGAGGAGTTCAAACAAGAAACGCCGCGTCAGCACATTCCGTCCCCGGCACCCCACCACCCCCACCTCCCTCGCTCTCTCTGGTTCTTGTTCTCAGTCTCCATGGATGTCTCTCTAACCCCCACTCCCTCTGTACTGTGAACTCTCTCTCTTTCACTCTATTGCATTCTTGCTCTTTGCAGGACTTTCTCTCCTGCTCCTTCCTTCTTTTTTTCCCTTTCACTTTAGGTTTTTCATAGATTCTTTTTTTTAACACTCTTTTTTTTCTTCTGCCTTTCTCTCTTTCTTTCTTCATGCCTGCCGGGTTAAACATGGAAACTTTGCCTGATAGTGCACACACACACACAAATGCACACTCGCATGTGCATGCGCGCGCACACACACACACACAGACACGCACACACACAGAGACACAGACACACCTCTACCTCATCTTGATCTCTGATGGCCATTTTGACTGGCAGACCCCTGCCCCCTCATCACAGTATCTCTCTTCTGGATGTGCAAAACAATTTTGACAAATATTGTAATAACAATCCCAAACCAAGGTTTAAAATAAAACATTTGGTATGAAATCACAAAACTCAAAAGCATTTTCTGACCTGACTCTGCTATAGGCCGGATGTCACTATATGATCATTACTAAAATATTTCTATGCCAGTTTTCTAATCTGCAATTGTCAGAGAAAATAAACCTTGGACTGGACTGTCACAAATACACACGCAGCACAATGTAAATGATATTGCTTTAGAAGCAGAATGTATTAATTATTCAGTACAAGAGAGCAAAATCCAATCCTCATGAAACTCATATAATGTTCTGCAGGCTATGAAACAGTGAAATCAAATGAAACTGAGAATTAAGAAAACACATAGGCTAAAAAAAACAGATATGAACACGTTCCAACAGATTGCAAGAAAGAGAGCATGGATTTCCATATTTTTTCAAAGGAGCAAACTTTCTCACTCCTACATTCAAACAATTTATTTCACTTGTATATTTTTCTTCCTGTGTTCAAAATGAAAATGAGTCCAACTTTGACTTTCGTGCAAAGAGGGAGTCGTTTCTTTATTCTGGCAAGGCAGCTGGAGCTCTGGAGACTTCGAGGGTTTTGGAAAGATATGGGAAAGAGAGAGAGAGAAAGAGAGAGATAAAGTAACAGCAACTTGTTAGTCAATTAGAACCACTTCCTTGGCAGACAGCTCAGAGACAGGCATATGACTTGACATGTCCTGAAACGTAGCCAATAGGATCAACAGAAAGAGAGAAAAGATGGAGAGATAGAAAGAAGCATGAGAAAGAGAGAGAGAGTAGTTTTGCACTCACACTTTGCCAAGTGAATTCTGCTACACGTGTCTCTATCACATGGATTCATTGTTTTACAGTCAAAATCTTAAGACCGTGTTTTCAATTTTCCTAAAGTGAAGCTTAGATAGACTCTTAACAGGAAGTCAATTCTGACCAAACTGAGTCCTTCCACAACATCTGTGTGAGTGAGAACCCGACAAAGTCACGTGTAGTGTGTGTCGTCTACACACAACACTGAGAGTGCGAAGGTCGGATGAAAGTTACAGATTCTGTCTTTGTGTGTTTACGCTGAATCGTTCGCTCAGTCCAAGGCAAGCAGCAGATTAAAGGCAAAATAAGACTGGATGAGGGAAAACTATGCAAAGCCAATGATTTGCTCTGTATCTTCTGCATCAGTGTTCTTATGTAATATGCTGGCTCTGCTGCATTCTCCCTCTTGGAGCTGTTTGTCAGAAAATGAAGTTTCTCCTGGTGCAGAGAAACAACGTGAATGTATTCACAGGATTTCACTGGTCGCATTACTTCTCAGGAATTTACTCACTTTAACTCCAACACTGTGGATTTGTACTGGTTTTGTGTAAATTATGTGAAATTATTGAACAGTACTTACGGTGGCACAACTAATTATCATTTGCCATGTGTTCAAATCAGTGTTGGGTCAAAGATTTTATGTACACTGAAATATCTACGTCAGATTTTAGGCAAGTTAGGATTAAACTAGAATGGCACTCAGTGGAGTGTATTCCTCCACCAAGGCCCAACAGCCCCCATAACAAATCACATTTAAATTCAATCAATACAGATTTTTAAATGGATCAAGCACACTCATAAATATAAGTGCCGTAGAACTGTAAACATGCTTGATTTATTTCATCATGAGCCATGAATTATTCTCTGACAGATCAACAATGATAAAAAACAAAACAAAAAAACTTCCATCCCTTGATCTGGATCTGCACTAATATCTGGGTTCTGCCTTGTGTCAGCATTCATCCCTCCACAAGATTTCATGGAAGTATGGTTTCATGGTTGAGTATGCGCAATTTCGTTGCTGAATAAACACAGATGTCCAACAACTAGCAGAATGATTAATATTGACTGGAGATTGTTGAAACTTTTCTATCTCAGAGTAATTTTGGTTTCTATTAGCTGTAGAAGTACTGGCTTTGCCAAGTTCTGATTTCCATTAGAGTGAATGGAATATCCCCAAAACTCTATAATGAGATTAACTTGAATGTTTTCAATTACACCTAAAGGTGTTCATTTTTATCTCTGAGTTCCCAGGGTTCCCTCGGCCTCCAAATGAACATAAATATTAAGGGCTAAATTACAAATAAACACATGCATCTACAAACGAGAACAAAATCTGCTGGAACATTTTTGACCCATGCCGTTTACTTCAAGCATGTGTTCCTTGTGTGCAGTGGTGACAGGCCCAGTTGGTGTCTGGCTCACGGATGGTGTGTAACAGTGTGTATGCTGCTGGTCAGGTTTCACTGCTACATGTCTTCACTGCATCCCAACTATGCAGACAGGCAATGCATCATGACCAGGCACACCATCCACTCCTCTGTCACAACATGCTTCAAAGCTACACGTGTAGAGTGAGACCCTGCAACCAAGTCAAACACAGGTGATCCCCACACACACCAACGTCAGGTCTGGTTTTATGGGCCTGCCGGCTCCACTCAGAAAAGATATGAATGCAGAAACATGGTATATAACAAGTAAGAGCAGAATGATTGAGATTTTAGAAAAAAGACATACTGAAGCTGTATGTGAAATGGGCCCAGGTCCCAAAAATAAAAAATGCTAATAAAAATATTAACCCCAAAAAAGAACCAATGAGAGTCAATTTATGGATTTATTTTAACAAATATGAGAATGAATTTTTCTCATTATATTTTTAAAGAGGGACCCCATTAACATTAGGCTTGTTTTAGCAAGGTAATATTGAAAGTTGTAAATAATTGACAGTTTTGTGCTTATGTCACTTTGCTATTAGGTTTCAAAGTTGGTAGCTTTATTGTTCCATTGGAATGGACATTCACAATGTAAGCGACAACTTGAGTGATTGTTCGGTGAGCAAATGTTAACATGTCTATACATTGATTTTAAACGTTTAAATAACTTGGGCCTCTTAATCAAAACAATAACAAAAGATCTAGTTTGATGACGTCGTGAAACAGCGTGGGATCATGGGAGTTACTGTCTTCACCACCACCGTCAATGAAAATCTACCTGACGTGACAAGTCATGTTCATTGATGAGTATTTAAGTTTTATTCATATTATGCAACGAATGATAATGAATATTTGTGATCCATTACTAGTGACTAATACAAAGAATAGAAGGAAAAAACAGCTGACTGACTAACTAGCTAACTAACAAGCGGCGCATTTTTTTCTTGACCTTACGTCGTTTGCCCCAGAAGTTATAACAGTGGCAGCAAAGCCACAACTTTAAGTGGATATGACACATTTAATATGAAACCAAATTGATACATCCTGTTACCTTGAATAAAATTGTAGATTTGTCTGGATTTGAACATCATTGAGAACATTTAGGAAACAATAAAAACATAACAAAACAATATACATAACATATTGTGTTGCAATTGTCTTCATATTAGTACATTTCAGTTGTAGTTTCAGACTGTAGAAACAGGGAAATTGTCTTCTATAACTGTGCACATGGCTTCATAGCAACCGGCCTGAGTGTTGACAGTCTAGGAGAGATGGGTCAGTATGCTTGTCGAGTTGTTGAACTCCGTCTCAAAGCCTTTCCAACATCAGAGTCAGGGCGTTAATTTTTGTCACATTCCAAATTCGACAGTCGGAAATTCACGCCCACTTCACACAGCCACTGGCTGGGTGCGCGACTTCTCACAAACACTTTTTTCTCATTCTTCAAGACACTGAATTCACTTTTCATGTGTACATAAGAAATGCAAAATTATAAATAACTTTCAGGAATTAAGGAACAAAAGTGTGTGTTGTGATCCCTCTGTAAACGTCTCTCTCTGTGCCAGGCTTTCACACAACCTTTGAGTCTTTTATGCATGTTATTTTAGTGAAAAAATGCACATTGTCAACTATACAAAACATACTTTACTCTATTTCTGGTTTGCTAAAGCCATTCATCTTTTTCTGAGACAACATCATGCCTGAAGGAGTTCTCGCTTCCTTTTCTGGCAGTAAAGAAAATAAACAGAACCATAAACAAAACTAAATCCTATAGCTCAGCAAATTGCAACATGCTAAATCTACAAAAGTCCAGGAGAATAATACAACCGTCAGAATAGAAAAGAAATAATACAGCTGGTTCCTATATTTGCAGTTGGATAGGGTGGCCTTGGCCTACACTGTAGTCCTCGTCTCCCTCCCTTCCAGCCCCTTCATATCTTTCCCATTCTCTTTCTCCCCTCTCCCCTCCTCTCGCAGCCCCTCCATGGGTTCTTTGAAAGTGTTTTCCTGGTAAGGCACAGGGAGTGGAGGGTGAGCGGAGGCCTCTCCTTTCTGAGAACTGGCCGTGCTAACATGGTTTATAGCTGCCCAGAGACAGTATCAGACGTGTATGTGAATCAGGGAGCGAGGCTGCAAAAAAAGAGGGAGAGAAGGGGGGGGGGGATACGGAGGGAGGAGTTTGCGAAAATGCCAAGCCATGGTTCACTTCAGCAGGCAGTTAAAGTGAGGCCAAAGAGAGGAGAGAGCAGGAGGAAGAAAAGAGAAAAAAACTCTCTCTGGGTTTGGAGAATTATTTCTGCAGCAAGTTTAGAAATGTTATGCATTTGAATCTGAGGACTGGAAGTGATTTTTAGTCATAATTTATCTCTTGGTTGTGCCAAAGCAAAATGCACCTAATGCGATGATGATAAATTTAACTAAATCCATTCTGATAAACCTTAAAAACAGTAGAAATGAAGAAAAAAATAACACAAAATTTACTTTGACACAGAATGTTATTTTTTACATTTTCAATTATGTAAACCCAAAAATAAAACATGCAAAATCTACAAAAGTGTAGGTGCATGCAGAAGAAATATGCATTATTTATATTGCTTGCTACTTCAGAAAAACATTGTTTTTTTTACATTTACATGAACTATAGTAGTCGTCGTCTTGGTGACATACTGCAGTAACCTGATTTCTAAAATGCAAATGAGAAACCTGGTTTCCTGAAACTGGATAGGGGATTAGGAAAAACCTGGTTAAGAATAACATTTCTGGAAAATAGGCCAATTTTTTTGGCAAAATGTTGTCTACACTTTCTGATGAGTTTTACTTGTGTATTTGCACGACAAAGACTGCAGGCTGAACATCACAGTAGCAGCAGTGAAGGAGGTTATGTTTTCATCAGCATTTGTCTGATATTTGGCAGATTACACAAAAATGACTGGACGGATCACCATGAAACTTATTGAAAGGATGTGGAATATGTCAGGGAAGAAGCAATTCAATTTTGTTGCCGTTCAATACTATATTTTCCTTGATTTCACAGAGAATAATTCATGGAACTTCATGAAAAAATCTTTTTTATGGGACTGATTGTGTGTAATTTGGTGCAGATCAAAATAAAAATCTGGATCTAGGGGATTTAAATGTGGTTTCATAAGCAGACTGTCGTGCCTTGGCAGATGTATGCACTCGACTGCATGCCATTCTTGTAGCTGTGTCAAAAACAATAAAATCCAAAAGCCTGAAATTTAAAACAAAATACATTTGTATAAATATAATTTAACATGTATACATTTACTACAGTAAGGGAGAGAAACTGCTCTGTCACAACAGGGCCAGTCTTCACATAACATATTAATATCTGAATTCAAATGTTCAGTCTTGGCTCTGAAGTATTGTTGGGGGCTGAGCTGAAATCTGATAAACAACCAGCTGCATGTGAATGTGGGTTTTACAGTAACCAGGTTTCTGCATTAAAAGACAGCTTTCTTTACTTTGCTGTATTTTATCCACGATCATGCTATTTGTTCTGGTATTTCAAAGTGCAAGCAGCTGACAACTGCATCAGTAGCTCTTTTCTTCCAAGAGGCAAACAAACTGCTGAGAAAGTTGTGTGTTCTAATAACTGCAGTTAAGATGAGGAAATGAATGACGCATTCAGCTGTACATTGAAATATAGACACCGGGATTAAACATGTAACTTGGTCAACTTTTCCTGACCACCAGGCGCTGGTTCTGCCAGTTGACAACAAATGTTTTATGTGAATAGTAAATGGGCCACACTAACAATAGCTCTATTCACACAATGACCAGGGCTTCTGTTGCTTTAGGGACATGAAGATGATATTTGTAAAATTACCTCCCACCAACCCCCCCACACCTCTCACCTCACTTCCCACTCCTCACTTTCAGGCGTTCACTTAGTTCTTCTGCCCCTTTCTTACCAAATCAGACACAAATGCCTGCTGCCCAACTGGTTTGTCTCACTGTCTGTCAAAGTGCGAGGATACTGTTCCGCTCACCTTCCTCTACCGGAGACAGTGGAGGCCTGTTTTATTCACAGACACATTCCCTTCAACCTAAATTTGTATTTTTCTCTTGGCAAATAGAAATCCTATTTGATAAGAATGCTCGATACATTTGTGCTGCAGCAATGATATCCTGTGCTTTTTAGGAGTTTTCGGAGAGAAATACTCAGAAATGAATTCCAGCTAATGAATTTGAATGACGCTCAGTGTACTTTGTTGTACTCGATGAATAGCCAATTGGCTCAACCAGAGGTAATTCAGAGTTCACAGCCTACGTGCTCACAGTGGTACTTAGCCCATCTGTCATAAAAAAGCATGGGGGAATTGGGAGAGAAAACAGCCTTTGACAGAAGGGGAATGTATGGTTTCATATGTAGAATAATAAAAAAAAGTTTTATTTTTCTGTCTTGGCTCTACGCATCTTTTCTCCTGGCATCCCATACAAGGAAGCAATAAATCAAGCAGCCGAAGCCAAAAAGCAAATGAGCAAAAAATGATGGAAATCTTGGGAGACTGTGGTAACAAATCAAAAGGTTTTACTTGAAGTTGAGCTCGCTAAAGTCGACCAATCCACGCCATGTCAATGTTTGACTTGGACGCCGTCGTAGCTGAAAGCAGGCACTTACCACCATGAATAAACATCAGACGTGCCTATTTTCCCAAAGTCACAGGAGTGAAGAGAGGTGTGAAAGAACAGAACACTTATCTCTCAGAAAGAAAAAAAAAACTAAATGTGCACAAAATACAAACACACCCATTAAAACATTTCTTTTTCTTGAAATGTAAGTAAACAGGTATAACTCTTGTGTGCCAAAATTACCATTAATATCTGTATCTTGGTTATAACAGTAGAAAACAGCCCCTCCAGCCTGCACAATCATTTAACCCATAGGGTGAGTAAAGGTTCAACGAAAGAGCGGCAGGCATTTTTGTGCAGATAAGCCCAGATGCAGTTTAGATGCCTCTTAACATCCACATGTTACTGCTGAATTTAAGGAGACACAGATAGACAGAGTGAAAGGCCGACCTGTACAGGAGAGTCCAGTGGGTGGATGGATTAGCTCTTTATTATTAGGAAGTCAGTCTGGTTAGCTGTGCGTACGAAGACGTGAGGCTTATGACTCATTCCATGGGACACGTCTAAGCCACTTCCAATTAATGTGGTTTATGTTCTTTACAGGTATTTTCCTCCAACCTGACCCCTGACCCATGTCAACCATTATACTATGGCTTGGCTGAACTGGCTGATGGATATTCTATACTGAGAGATGTATATCTACATAGTCCAGTTTGCCCAGATTATCAATATCTTGATTTCAGTATTTAATCAATGGTTGGTGCATAACCCTAAATCTTGACTGAGAGACAAGATAATGGTGGTCCTATATTATAATTGTGCCTATCTATATTCTATAAAAAGCTCAATGACTCCTCAATTCTTAAAATCAAAAAGACTCTTCAAAATGCAAAAAGGTTTTTGATTGAAAATGTTATCTGCAGCTGGTGTCTCTCACATTAATGGTCTTGTTTGAAAAAAATCTTAAACTCAAATTGATGGGGAGCTCAAAGAAACATTTCTCCTTATGGAGATAAGGTCAAGAAAAAATATATTTATTTGCAAAAAAGCCTACGTCTAAAATTCCACACCTCCTCAGACGAATAAAGACAAACCCAGAAAATCCATATTCACAAAGGCACAAACGGCTGCATGAATCTGTCAACCTTTCAAAGTGGATATCTTCTGCATATTTGAGGCTAACAAACAAATAATTGAAATTGAATACAAACAACAGAGTAGAAAGTGGAGTAGGAAAATAAAGAAAAATAAATATGAAAAATGCAGAGAATCAGGAGAGTGGAGTTAGTTTCTGTAAAAAATGCACAGTAAGGGTTTTGGCATCAATAACTCACTGCAATACTGCATTAAGCGACAGTTTTACTATTAACTTCACTGGCAACATGAAACTGTGCAAACAAAATGAGAAATCAATTAAATTATGTGCTGGTTTTTTTATTGATACATTATATTAACTGGTGGTCTCACAGTTTGTAAAAGTTTTTGTGCTGAGCGTTTATCTCAGTGTAACATTGACAATTTATTTGAAAATGACTGACCTACTGTGCATCTTCACAGCTGAGGTAAGCCAGGTGATGTTATCTATATGAAGAAGTTTTTACCTTGAGGCGATTCTGGTCTGGGTGCAGCAGGTAGTGGTCGCTGGGACCTGGGTTGACTCGATGGGACTGCCATCTTAACAGGGCCAATGTACTCAACGTAAGTCCCCGGAAAGTCGCCTCTCTGCTTGGTGCGCTCATTGTACCCAAGGAGCCAGCCCAGGCACTCAGGCTGCTCCTCGCAGCCCTCCTGGTATTTCTCCATGGACGACAGCGACGCCTTGCTGACTGTCAGGACGTCTCCGGGCTGGAGGTCCAAGTCCTCTTCCTGGTCCTTGGTAAATGCGTAGAGAGCACGGTACTGAAAACCCTCTGCCGCCATTTTGTTGGGGAGACAAAAATTAAAATGGCCACCAAATAAAGAATTAGATGAGCTACTGCAACTGCAAGTGTTACAGATATCCTCCTCAGAAACCAAAAAGGTTGTCGAGTCACTAAATTCTGGTGTTGGATGTTAGTTTGGCTTGAGGGGGAGGGGGTAGGGGGATGATGGGAGGAGGGGGGAGTCACCCGAAGCTAAGAAGCATTTTCAAAAAGTCGATAAGATGGCGTTCTGCTGCTGCTGTGTCTGTGGCTGCAGCGGTTTCAGACTTGACCGGTGTTGGTGGACTGGTGCGATTTCCTCAGCTTGATTCCCCGGTTGAGCCAGATGATGGAGCAGAGCGAGAACGTTGGCAACATGCTCTTTCAAGCAGCGGAAACCTGCTGGCTGGGTGCTACTGGAGCAGCCGGGGAAGGAAAAAAAAAGTCTTTGCCAGTTGAGGGCCCTGTGTTGCTGGCTCTCCGCGGTCAAATGAAGTGGTCTGATTGGAAGACAAGTGGCGGAGTGGGATGGTCTTTAATCCTATTGGGTTCTCTCAGGCTCCAACATGTTCCGGACAGGGATTTTGACCGACCTGCACAGAATAAAAAACAAAAAAACTGAGAAAAGAGGGCAAGAAATGTTTGAAAATTTCAATAATAAAAACTGTGAAAAATAAGAACAAACGGTGAATTCGATTTAATTAAACAGCCAGAAGTAAAGCGGCCCATATCTACGTGAAACGAAGCTTAAAGCGGTGCATGAAAATGGCGAACTGCAGCAGCTCAATGCATTTGTGCAGTCTTCGGTTAGGACAGAGAGATCGGATGATGCTGCTGCGTCATAACCAACAGCAGACTGGGTCCCTGGACAGGAGCCTCCATTCCCTCCATTCTACATTCACACACTCATAGCTTTTACTGGCGCATCACAGTTTCCACAGGAACAAGAAGTTTTTACTGTGAAATTAACATCCGTTCAACTCACAACAGCATGTGCAATTAACAGGATTTGAAGAAATCCAGGCAAAATGGTGAAGACAGGGTTTTTGCAGAATGAGCGTGCAAAGGAAACTAAGACCTGTACCATGTTTGTAGGGCAACCAGAATTTTCGGAAAGAAGTGGAACCTTTTGCAACAGTTCCCTCTGTCCTAGGAGAGAAAAGAGGCAGCTCTGTGTTGCCTTAGATATATTTGAGATTTTTCTGCATGAGAATACCAAATGGACCGTCAACTGAGCAACCAAAGACCAACAAACACCACCTAACACGAATAATTGAATGCTCTTTCTAGTCGATCATACCATATCTGCATACAGCAAAAGGTCAATCCATGTAACCGTAACAAATATTGTCTCAATGAGATGATTGCAAGGCCCAATAAAATGCCAATCAGAAAACCGAAAATATCACTATATAGCAGCAACATAACAGTTTCAGAAGGAGGGATTGGTGTAAGGGGTTCTAATAAACCAAATTCATCAGACACTCGATTGCAAAAAATCAGAATTACTGGATTATAATGTCCACAGTAAAATATCAAAACAATGTATCATGCCTGGTCATCTGAGATGTAAACGAAAAAAAAGAATAAAAATCCTGCAAGAGACAGGGAGCAAGGACGAGAGAGATTAGGGTTTCCAGATTAAGTACGACATCTGTGGTTTGTGGACCATCCGAGGACAATGGTCATGTTAACCTCTCTGGACGGGATGAAAAGATGTACGTGAGGAGATGGAGCAGGTAGCAAGGGAGGACGAAGGCGACAGGAAGGTGGATGGAAGTTTGGTTCTCTATGTCAGGAGTAAGAATCTATCTGGGGCAATTTACCAAAACGCCCAAATCGAAATAACCACAGGCCTGGTTTGCAAGGCCTGATGTGCAATCACTTCGAAAACGCTCTTGAATGGACAATGTTTTGAATGATGCATTGCAGACGCTTAAGAAAAATTAGGTGAATGCATAAAAAATAAACCTACACCTCCGATTTACATCTGTGAATGCCAAAGTGCATGCTTGCGAATCTTAGTCTAGATTATCCTCTCTGCCCCCACTACATTCAGAAAGCAAACGCACATTCCCTGCAGACGTTTGTGTGTAAGAATATCATCCTTTTTTTTTTTTAAATGAAAGGTTTAAGAGTTATCGTGATAACAGGATGCAGCACAGTGCAACACTCACCCCACTTTTGGTTCAGAGAGAAGCCCGACAGGCTCAGCCACACTCTCAGTCCAACATCCTTCGAGTCGAGAAGCAAGAGGTGCCAGGCGAGACACGTGGCACTGGCATACCCAACCACAGCCCGCAATCCTCACACCACCATACCCCCCCCCCCAACCCTAAACCTCCCTCCCTCCTCTCTCCACCTGCTCTTCACCCCCTCCGAAAAAAAAATAAAACACAGAGCGAGGGAGAGTCCTGCCTCCAACTGACACCCCCCCCCAATCCTCAGCCAGCGAGAAAGTCCAGTTGTTTTTCCAGTTGCCATGTTTTATTTGTTTATAGTCAGAGCACCGGTGCAGAAAAGCAGCGAAAACTCGATGAAGACGGTGCAGAAGAAAAAGCAGTGCGCAAGGAGCGCTCTGAATCAGTAATCCTTTTTTATTATTTAGTTCCGAAGCAGAAAAAGTCGTGCGAGGTGAGAGACGAGTCATCTCTGTTACAGTCCTGGTCTGATGTAGTAGCTCACAGTTCAGGGCAGCAGCAGCAGCAGCTGTCAGGCTCAGCCTCACTGGATCCATCCCCCTTTTTTAAAAAGACTTTTTATTCTGTCAGAGCACAGAGAGCAGTGAAAAAAAGCAGTGAGAGACGGAGCACTTTGCTATCAGCACAGTCCAAACGGCTGAGGGAGACCACAGGAAAATAATTAATGAATAGGCAGCAAGTAACTCACTGTTGCTAGAGAGAGGGAAAGCTAATCCCGCGCTCTGATTGGCTGCTGCTCTGGCCATGTGTTCCCCAGTCACCAGAGAAGCCGGGCAAATCAAGGAAATGTTCTAATATTAGAAAATGTATCTAGGCAGCGATCAAACATCTGACCCAAACAACTCAACCTTTTCCCCACACATTTGACTTTTCTCATGCGTGTAACCTTGATGATTGTTTATCATCTCTCATGAAACGCTGGATTACATTAAATGAAACAGGTTGATGATGCCGATGATGAAAAACACAACATGGAAAATGTGAAGGCTGAGCGTGACTGGAGCAAATTCCATGAGTCATGTTAAAGTCGGGCAAAGGGATGAGAGGAGATATTTGTTTTTCTGAAAGAGCATGATAATATATGTGATTATTTGCACGAGAAGGAGGAAATAAATAGTTATATATTTTACAAAATGACAACATTGTGACAAGTTGTGTGTGAAAAGTATAGCAAGAAAGCAATATAGCACGAAAGTATAAGACATTTAACATAACGGTGGGGGAAAGCGAGACCTACATTGAACCTAAAATGGCATTTAGATTAGACTCTGCTGTCTGCAGACATCAGATGACTCTTGATGTGTTTAGTCACCCAGTGTCGCTCTGACCTGTTCATTATACACCAGTATGCATAATGTAAAATGGCAAACAAGCCATTCAGAGCATCACTAACACAGTGATCACAGTAATTATTTTTGCAGAAAAATTCAATATGACTAGAGATATTTTTACTGGATGTCTTCTCTTATTATTTACAGGATACACTGAATAAAGACCAGTACGTTTTAACTCATTTCTTTTTACTGATAAATTGATGATTTTTTTTTTGCAGAAAACAGAATAACAAAAGAATTGATATTTTTACGTTAATCAAATAATCAAACATTTTCCAAGCTATAATGTCAAACACTTCATGGTCCTCAATTGTGATAATTTACTGCTTTTCTCAGTTTTATATATAAAAATATCAATTCAGATCAACATCACCTCGTACCAGGTTTCTTCATAAAGTCTAACAACATTTGCCAAACAATTATCATTAAATAAATAATTCCTCAAACAAATATATTGATAAGCCCCAGACTATCTTCAAACTTAAATTACGTAACAATAAGAGGGCAATGTGGATAATATGCAGTTATATTTTTCTGAAATTGAATTGACATTACGTCATGCATATATATAATTTTATAAAAAATACTATTGATTATCAAGAAAGTACAGTAAGGTACAGTCATATATCAGGGGGGAAACTAAACAACTGTGAAAACTATAGACATTTATCACAGTGTAATTTGTACATAAGCTTATTGTTTGACAGTAAATATAGTCTATTAAATCATACCATCCATTATAAAAAATCAAAGCTGGAGTCAGATCTTGCCAAATTATGTCACAGAATGTTAAGTCAGACTTTCAACCCCAGGTAAATATCTCTGTATCTCCCTGAACCACAGTTTTAAATCTGGTGTTGGTGGCAGCATTCTCACGCTGACAAAATCTGTCAGAAGTGAAGAGGGGAGCAACCATAGCGATGAAGATGATGATGTAGGCTACAGCAGCGACTAGCAGAGCCTAAGCATAGAAACCTAGGATGCAACCAAGGACATTTTACAAAGCTTCAGATAAAAAGCAAACTGAGCATTCAGAGGAGGGATTACAGTCAAAAAAGGAAGCAATCCACGTGAAGGACATACGTCAAACATTGACAACGTTTATGTAATTACTCTTACTGCCAGAGGGTGGGGACCAAAGTTTGACAATGCAGGTTTATCGTAACGTCCGAGAACAGGAGGACAAAACAAAGAGAAAAACATGAGCCACTGAATTCACCTTCAACACTGGTCATTGATCATATTAACATAATCATGAGAAGAAGTACTTTAGTGGCCACAGTTTGGTAATGAACACGTTTTCTACCCTTCTCATTTAAACAGAAAAGATCTTCAGATTTGTGTTTTGCATTGTTAGTTAATTGGAGACATATGTGCAGCGCTCTTTACTCCCTATGTCTCTCTGTCTCTCTTACGAACACCTGCCACTCATTGCCACACTGTTTCCGGCTGGAAAGTCCCACAGGTAAAACTGCAATGTGTATAGTATAGTGTTACAATACTAGCAATCTCATGAAGCATTTTAGGAACCATGACACAAAAGAAGTTTACCAAGTCAAAGGAAAAAATGATTTGTGGTCAAACGTGACAGTAAAATATGTTCTATGTCATTTATTCTCTGTGTATATTTGTTTTTCAAAGGGTTTAACCTGGGTGGCTGAGCCTGGCCATACTCTAATGATAGCAATCATCACTTCCATACAGGGTTAGCAGCATACAGCAGTCAATCTTTATAACTTTATATAACTTTTTTAAATGCACTGACTGATATTGGATCGGTACTCCCCTCCTCCCTGGCACGACAGCCTAAATATCAAAATCTGCCTCAGGAAACAATGCAGACCATATCTGCAGTGATATAAACATTTCACCAGTTATATAACTTTACTTGAACTTCTGCAGTACCTCGGATCAACTGTCAGTTGTATTTCCCTTTGCTCCACTGGTTCGTGTCATAGAGAGTTCCAGAGAGATAATGTCTAATAATAAGAAAATCCATTCCAGTTACACCCGGTCGTACGTGTGCAACACAAACCAAAAGGGCTTCACAGCTGGACAGGCCCATGTTAAAGGTAAATAAGTTTCCACGTCATCCTCATTACATAATGTGCAAATGGGTGTGGAGTAGAATAGTTGGAAGAATTTCCTGGTAGTGAAATAATGTAATTTAAAATCAATAATTTGAAGACTGATCATCTCCTCTAAATTCTTTAAGTCAATATTCCAGATCATGATCACACCCATTGACGGATGCAAGAATTCTTGCTGGAACTTTGAATTCTTGCTGGAACTTAGATATTTAACAACCTACATTAAAACATACCCAAATACAAGCGTGCAGCTAATTTCCTCTGTCGATCAATCACCCGGTTATCTGCTACCAATGCAGATAAACAAGTTTCTCTTGGACCTGAGGCTGTGTTGAACATTTTCACACCAACACATCATCAATCATGACTTTCTAGTGTACGTTTCCTCAACAGTCACATCTATGTAGGTCTGTTTAAAATGATGCGAACCCATAATTTCCATATCTTTGAGAGTTTGAAGGGAAACATGCCACAGCAAATCCAGTCCAAATATCAAGAGCAGTCCCCCCCCCCTCACGGTTGAATGTGATGATTTTTCATACAGAGCTGAAAGGTTGATGAGTTAAAGAATGTTTTCTTAGCATGTGCAGTTTTTATAAAAGGATATAAATGCTGGGCTACATGTTGGCCGACGCCTCGGAGACACAGTTTATGGATTTCATGTGGATCACAGTTCATTTCTTTCACGCTGTATAGAATTCAGACATATACTAGATGGTAACAGTTGCTTCTTTAAAGTTTTGTGTGTGTGTGTGTGTGTGTGTGTGTGTGTGTGTGTGTGTGTGTGTGTGTGTGTGTGTGTGTGTGTGTTGGCCCTTTACTGCTCTGCTGATGAGGAGCTGAGCCACCACGCATGCAGCCTGGCTTCGGGCCATGTGTCCACATGGAGGCGAAAAAATCTACTGCGCCACAGACAGGGAGGACAGGCCAACAACACAAGAACTTCTTTTTTCAGCCTCAAACAGTGGCTTAGGCTTGTTATAATTTCACTTAGGCCCACCTGAACTCTATCTATGCTTAATGAAGCTAAAACAGCTCCCTTTGCTAAACAGAAACATCTGCTGCGAAGATTATGCAGCACTGAGACAGCACTGTTCAGAAAAAGTCAACTGTGCCACAAGCCTCAACAGGACTTGCTGTATCTATCAGATATGATATGAGACGCAGGCGATGCGGAGTTTGACCGAAGACAAATCTGATTGAAAAAAAAGACAAGAAATCTGATAAACCTCCAAAGTCAGCGCCGCATGAAAATACCATGAGACTTTTTTTTGCCATAAATAGTTTCTTTCCCCCAGTATAATGCAGTGTAATTCAATAATTTAAATTAAATAGCACCAACAGCAAATCTATTTCACTTCAGGGGTTTCTGTCTATACCTTTACATTCCGGTCATGTAAAAACATGTGATGATCAACATTATTCCTGGATCAAAACAAAAAGCAGTGGGAAAACAGTCGAAATGTCACGGACGTGTTCCCAACAACCGAGAAGGCGAATCAGGTCCATCTATCTAACTCTGTTCAGTTCAGAGTCTGCAGCCATTCCAGTGGAGTCACATTCTGATGCTATTTTGATCAAATAACACAATTTCAGTTCAACTGGCTCCCGCAGCTGAGGGGCGTTCAGCAACAATACCCACAGCTGTACTGTGTCTGGGCTGAATAATGTCTCATTCAGCCCTTCTGATAAGTGACACTTGGCATTCTGCAAAGCTTCACTTCTTGGAAGTTCAAACACAACCGGCCCCAAAGCGTCATTGAGGGCATTTCTAAAAACATGCAGAGGAAGAATGGAGGCTTTGCCACAAGCCGAGCTTTCACGCTGATAAAGCAGCGGCATTATTCTGGAGAATTGAATTTTTGTTGCATAACTCTGGATTCAGTAATTAATAGACAGGGAGGGGGTATTGGGGGGTAGAGGCCTATCTTATTATGCAAGTGCCACATTAAGTGCTCGGTGCATGGCAGAGAGTCAAAGCAGGGACACAACACACCCCTATCATGTCAGGCCTGCAGCAGTGAGAGGCCTCCACACTGCATGGCCGCCTGGACCCTGCAGCCAGTGTAAACGCAGTGTTGTGGTGTCATACACAGCAACAGTGCTGCACGCAGGTCTGACTCGAAGCTGCCCCAACACAACTTTCCTCACGTTCGAAAACCCCTACAACTGTTGACTGTGTGCATCAAGATAAACAACTCTCAGGTTAAATGATTTAGTTTGAAGAACTCGGGTTTGTGTTAAAAGTCGTCTTCGCGTTATTACCGGGCTGTGCGACCGTGAAGAATAAAGAAAAAGTGCGCAGAGTCAAGTTAAAGTTCGTGAATAACGCGCAACGTTACAGTGAGTTAACGGGCTCCACGTTTGATACACGTCAACTGTCGACGAGCCCCGCGAAGAAGACCTGCTTTTTATAGCGCGATAAAAAGAAGAAGATGCGAGAAAGCTGCGGACAAACAGGGAGTTGGGTTTAAGGTTTCAAAAGCGGGACAGTGGAGAACATGTCGGGGCTGCTGCCCGAGTGAAACGCTCGCTGGCGGCGGCGCCTCCACCATTTTCCAGCCCAGTGTCCGCCGCTGCGCTGGAAATGTGCAGCAAGTTGGAAAAACTCACCCGCGGATCTTTCCTCCACTCTTCTCACTTTGAGCGTGCGGCGCTGCGAAGCTTCAGAGCGGACACAACACGACCAGAGACCGCGTGGAGGCTGTAGCTCCTCGGTGTGTGAGTGAGTGTGTGTGTGTGCGCGCACTGAGCTTCCAGGAGAAGAGCTCTCTGTCCTCTTCTTCTCTTCTCTCTCCCTGTCCTCCTGCGACTCCTCTACTCAGCCATTTTCCAGCTCCGGCAGGGAGCAGTGCGTGGGAACTCACATGAGGAGAAGCGGAAAGAGACGAAGCTCGGCGGAAAGGTCCGAACCATCACAGAGGGGTCACCGGATGGTCTCGGAAATTTGAACCTGAGGATTTTTTTAAGCTTTAAAGTTTAAAAAATGTTTTGTTTCCAACTAAAACCGATTAGTTCAATGTTTGTTTTTTTCATATGAGAAGAGAAAGATCTGTGTTTAATACCATGTAAAACAGATACAACTCTATACACGACTCCTCACTTCTATTTTAGTTTTTTATCATTATTATTTATCATTCCAGCTGTCAATCTATGTCAATTATAAATGTGTATAATGTATCTTGCTTTCGCAATTATAACATATGTATCTTGCTTTGCTTGTTTGATTTTTAACAAGGAGAAGAAGTCAGCAAAAATCTGGATTTTATCTACAATAGTTAGTTTGTTTGTTTGTTAGTTGCACAAAACCCAACAGCAAATAAGTAAACACATCGGTAATTCAGAAAACACAATGAGAAATAACCAAATACAACCACAAATCATGAAACGAAATGGCAAATAAGAAACACAAGAAATAACAAAACACAAAGGCAAAGAAGAAAACACAACAGTAAATAACAAAACATGACAAATAACCAAACACAACAAATCAGTATACCCAACCGCAAAGAAGTGAAAACAACAGTAAAGAAGAAAACACAACAGATCACACAACACATTTTGTCAGTGTTTGTTTCTCTTCAAAAGGACAGACAGTCTGTCCAATCAGTGACGAGTCCTGTCAATAGAAGCTACCTACCTTTTCTGCTGAGGTTTGTCACTGCGTCTTCTTATATCCTGTTGCTGCTTTGGCTGAAGGTACAAGGGTTTGGCCCTTTTGCACCTTATTGAACCGTACCGGTGTCCTGATGTCTATTGAGGTTGTGATGCAAGTTGTGGCCTGAGAATTGAGGTCATAGTTCTGGTGTGGGAAGAGCTCTTATTTTGGCGGCAGTATGGGTTCTGCGTGTTAGTTTTAATACTCAGCTTTGTCTGTGTATTATTAACACAAAGATGAATCTGTGTTGTTGAAGTGACACATGAAGTGTGAGTGTCACACTTGACCATTAGTACATTTAAGAAAGATTCAGATAGTTTTTGTTGCCACAATCTTGCAAATATTGTTGTATGAGGGACAGACGACAGGTACACACAAGTTGTTGTAGTCCTGGACTTTTGAGTCCTCTGCAATTCATTTATTTCAAGCACTGTTAAGACAATAGAAAAAAAACAGACAATGTCACACCAGTCTGCACCAGATATCCACATGGAAAGAATTTCACAAAGGCTAGTTTGTCATTCTGGGACATGGTGGGGTTGAGGAGGGGGCAACAACTTCTAACACACGACTACGCTATAAGGAGTGTGGCTTATGTGGAGAGTCAACGTTGTGCAACCGTTTGAGAACATGGATTTTATTACACACATACAGACACACACACAGAGGCAAATAGAGAGATGAGGAGCTCCTTGTGATGATGTGTAATGAACTGCTGCTGTTGAGATCCCCACAAAATGAACTCTTGATTTAAAAAACATGACTTGATGATACAATTTACAGGTCAAGAGATAATGTTTTGGTGGCGATGCAAAATGAAAATGAAATCAAGTACAATCGAGGATGTACAGGTATATTGCATCAGAAATTCAGAGAGAAATCCCACAGTTGTTCTTTTTTACAATGAAAAAATATCATTAGGTCTCATTTAAACCCCCACGATTCATAACCATTATTCAAGACTTGTAAATTCCCATTTTAAGTTCCTTCAACAAGACGCACGTGTCTTCTGTGTAACAAATGTAAATGAAAAGACTGGAAGCATTGTTGGCTGCTGATCCAGTCGTTGTCTGAATAAAAACAATACAACTAAAACAGCTTCAAAATTGGAGTAAAAATAGAAAGGAGGAACCTATAGCAGAAAACAAAATCCCCTTGCGTTCATATCTCTATCCTCACTTTAACCCTCAAATCATTCTCATGTTTAAAAAATTCAAGGCTTCTCAAACAAGGTTAATAACTTTAACCTTTAAAAAAAAAAAATCAGGTTCATCAAAACAAAAGGTTAAGATCCTCATCTCAGAGTCCATCTACCCTTACAAGGTCACTTTCAAAGAAACACCACCTACAGCTGCTATAAGGTCCACCATTGTTTAAACATACATCAACAGCATAGGTTAATAGTACTGCAACAAGACTGTTTCCATATCAAAATATACAAAAGGAGCGATCGTCTCGACTCATTCCTCCATCTGGATGAATTCTGCCATTCCCTGTCATTCATTTGTTGTTGTTGTTTTTTCTCCATAATAATTTAACAAAAACCTTGACGAGTCCACACACATATTTGCACTAAATTGTAAACATTCATTCATAATACACATTAAAAAACAGCCAAGGGAGCCATTTCTGTTTGTTGCATCCACTGTACAATATTTGAATCCCACAGAGAAAAGAGATCGTCCTGAAATGGCAACGCTCTCCAACTGTTCTACCACTAAGACGACTTGTACGAACACTTCAGCGAGACAAGGTTTTGTGAGCAGCTGGACGGAGGCTTGATTCAACAAGGTATTTAGAAGACGGAGGAAACAGCCTGGTTTCCGAAGGTATTTGCGAAAGCTCTTTCTACACACCTGCATGGTGATCAGGCTGTGGTTGAAACCGCTGCAAGGAGTGCAAGCACATTTTTTTTCTATTAACAGGACAGACGGCAAGTAGCACTGACGCCCATACATGCATGAAGGTTCTTATGTACAACTACAGTTCCTCTTTTAAATGGTTTCTTTGTTTAAACCATGCTTTGGCACCAGTGTCACACTTTCCAAATGGTTTGATGTTGATATTTTGTTCTTTAAAATATTTATTAAAAAAAAAATGCTATCAGGATGGATGAGTTTAAATGTTTACCACCACAAAAAATACTTCAGAGGCAGCACTGAATCTCTTTTTGAATTCTACAGTTCAGTATATGTTACAGAGCAAACACTGCAGGTTTCTTTCTGAACATATAACACCCCTGACCCCTGGTGGTATATAAAAATGATATTGACTGATTTTTACTCCTCTTTTCTTCACCTAATGCAAAAAAATCACATACAGAAAGTGTTGCGTGGCTTTTTCTATTTGTGCAATTCCTGAAATAAGAACAGCTGAAGCATCCAAGGCATTTTCAACGACCCCCCCGCCCCCCCAAAAAACAGGGTGAGCATAAAAAGTCATAAATAGGTTTCTTCATTGTAAAACAAAAATATTTACAAACTACATCAGATGTTGGTGCCACAGTGATTTGAGAACTGAGAGAAAACAAGCATCGAGGAAGAGAACACAGTTTTGCAGTCATTATTCCGTTAACAGTGTTGCAGGGTGCATATATTACTTAGAAACATCGACTTTAATTTTTGTTCTTCCGTCTGCAGACAGTTGCTCATGATGATTATGGGGCTTAGTCACAGTTTCTGGACACAAGGCTATCGCTTGTAAGAACAGTTGCAGGTCAGACTTCCACTCACTTTGTTGACCTATTATCTCTGCCAAACTCCTCCTTGTTTTTTGGATTGGCTTTCTGCTGTGTATTTGTACCCTGTGATCCTCTTCCTCCCAGCTTCATGCTGGATTCTGCCGCGGCCGAGTTGATCCAGGACGCCTTGAACGCCTTCGGCTGCGTGACAGGAGGTGTTGGGCTCGGTGTTGCATCTCTCTCCTCCAGGTCGTCAAAATTCACTTCCTGCACAGCCTCCTGTTTCTTGAAGGAGTCCCTGCGTTCTGACAGAGCCAGCTTCCTCATCACCACCACCTCATTGGAGTGGTGGTTGCCGCTACGGTGTGGCGAGACGGTGGAACGATGGTGCTCGCCAATGCCGCCGGCTGTGTCTTGGTGGCCTCTCTGCCCTCCAATATACAGCCCCTGACGGCCGTGCTCACCAACGCAAACGAACCCGGTGGCTGTGTCCCCTTCCATGTCCTCCAGCCCCTCCCCCTCAGACAGAGGCACCTCCATGGTATGGCGGCGGGTGCTGTAGGCCTTCCTGTCTCCGTGGTACCCTCCCGTCATCTTGTCTCCTGTCAGCTTCTCTGCTGACTGGACCCTCTTGAGGAGAGGTGAACGGGGTGGTTCTGCACTGCGGGGGCGAACAGAATGGCGAGCAATAGTGGGAGGGGACAATGTTTTGCCGTGGAAACCTTGCAGGGACTTGGGGTGACTGGGGAGGCAGGATGGAGAGCACTGGGGGGAAAGAGGCTGAGGAGGTGGGATGCAGGCCAGCGGTGAAGGAGGGATACTGCTGGTGGACTTGCAGCGGCCGGCTTTGGTGTAGCGACCCAAAACATGCAAGGAACTGGGACGGGCCTGAGGAACAGGTGAGTTCGGGGAGCTGGAACAAGGTGAAGAACTGGAATCTAACAGAAGGAAAGAGAAATAATACTTTATTTTTCCTGTAGAAACAGACAACCATAAAGCACTAAAGATCCACAAGAGAACTGGATACATTCTGCAAATGATACAAAGCATCCTCACTCACCTCCTGAATGGTCTGGAGCAGGGGAGCGGCAGGGTGTGGAAGGCCCAGAAGAGAGACTCTGCGTGGGGGAACCAGAGAGGCTGTCGCTCGATGACTGGTGGAACCCTGAGGAGAAGCTACGACTGCTCTGCATGGGTGGAGGCGGCGAATGCTTCGACAGCTTCTTCAAGATGCTACGTCGTCTGCTGCAAAAGCAAAAAGTGGATCTATGTTTAGTTTATTGTATTCTTTTATGTTACAGTTATGACTTCATTCCCCCGTCACGTACCTGTCCTGTCCATCCCTCTTCTTGCTCTTCTTGCTGCGTCGTGCCATCTTGGCCTTATAGCTCGACTTCCTGGCCGGGCCCACCTTAATGGAAGTGTTCTCCAGTGCAGTCGTCTGCAAGGTCACTCTGTTGCCACTCTGTTTAAACCAGATTGTTACCATAAATACGTATCTACAAGGCAGGTGAAGAGCCACAAAATGACATGTCCCTGACAGAAGATTAATATATTTAACAGGGAGGCACTACATTTAGATTTATATATACTACAAAGACATTGTAAGGCATAACAAGCCCTTTTACCTTGAGCAGGAGCTCCACCACCTCAGTGTGGACGAGTCCCTGGACCGACTCTCCGTTGACATGAGTAATGAGGTCACCCGCCCTCAGTCCTGCCTCATGTGCTGGACTGCCCTCCTCAACACACTGTGGAGACACACACACAGATCAAAATTACTGGTCAAGCAACCACCTAATCAGCTGTTAGTACTACAGTCCATGTTTCACCTGATTACTAAGTGTTTTCAGTTTACTTACTCTGAGAAAAAAGACACCAGGGAAATCAAACACATTTACTTAGTGCATTGGAAAAACATATAAAAACTGTAAAACACAGTATATGAAAGTTGTTTCAAATTGTAATTTTCACATTTGATATGAGGACACATACCCAGACCATGTGGTGGACAGTGTAGACATCACTGTCTCCCATGTAGACCCTGATTGCTCGCAGAGCAAAGCCGAACCTCTTTCCAGAGCTGTGGATGACCACAGGAGGCCTGAGGCAACTGACGCTGACGCACAGGTCCCGGCTGGGAGACGAGTCTCTGGACGAGGGGTTGGACGACAGGGACAAGGAAGATTTGGGGCTCGTAGGAGGAGCTGCTGAGTCGTCTGGATCAGGAGAGGAAGATGAATAGAAGATTAATGTTTATGGATTATATGTAATTTACCTCTGCTGCTTTAGTTCATTTGATACAGTACAGTATTTTATAAAAGTTCTACCAAACTACTAAAATAATAATAATCCTACCAACTGAAGTCATTCCACTGTACATGATTCTTAGTCAGAAAGTTATTATGGACATAGAATTAGTATTTAAGGTTTGTGAATTAGACAGGGTCCACCTGAAGAGGGCACTGTAAACAAATACATTGTTTTGGCAAATACAGTTAGGTGGCACTGGAGCTTGAAAAAAAAAAGTAAAATCTATTGTGGCCATGTAAATAAATGTATACCAGCTTCAATAAGAAGGTAAGGGACAAATATAAATGTATTTCCTTCATGTTTTGTACAGATTATTATCCGGTCTACCTGGGGTGATGATGAGAGAGAGGCCAGAGACAGACGCAGACTTGGGGACTTTGCCAGCTGGGGATCTGGGTTTCTCTGGGGTTTCCAGCTGGTGAGCAATTCGTCGAGATGCTCCTCTCCTGAATGACGGCCTGGTCCCCGTGCTGTTGCTCCGGAGACGAATGCGCCGTAGGTTGGAAACCATCCCGTCTACGATTATGAAGCAAAACGTTACACCACTGAGGACTAACAACTGTGAAATATCATAACAAATGACAATGCATAGGTCTGCGTTTGTTAGCTAACCTTCCTCTTCTGCAGAGATGGCGAGGCGAGGCATGATGTCAAGGCTCTGGGTGCTGTTCATAACCAGTGGGCTGGCACTGCGCTCTGACTGGGAGGAACTAGATGAAGCACGAGGACGCAGACTGCAAAGGAAAAAAAATCACTCAATAAAAACACAGGGTTGAGTGAGAAACTGTGCTTTCTCTGTAAAAACTGCAATAATGGATCAAAAATAAGAAAACAACAGGCAACACAATTCAAAGAGTTAACCAAACTTCTCTCAGTTTATATTACATTTCCACACGTATAAGGAAATTAGCTTTGTTATGCTGTTAATCAGCTTTTTAGTAAAAAACTAACAACTGATCATCTTTTTAAAAACACTGGTTTAATCTGCCAAAGCAACACAATTTGTTCAGTCGAGATCATGTCAGTAATTTATGTTTTGGCGTCAGAGGGGGAACTGGATCATATTACCAAAAAATTCCATTACTATCTCATAAAAAGAGAAGAAAATTTCATTTCCATCACATATTTCTTCTTGGTTCATTCTCCTCTCATAATGAGGATATCACTTTCTCTGGTGTTTCATGCTCTCACCTCCCCCTGTGTCCATCTGCCCTCCTGTCTCCACAAGTCGAGTGTTTGTACCCGTCGCCAGGAGAGAGGACTCCCCTGCCCTCCCATCGCTCCTCCTTCTCCTCGCTGTGGCTTCGCTCTGATGACGACAGGCTCTGGTTGGACGGAGTTGAGGTGGACAGGTGCTCTGTGCTGCTGTACACCTAGAATTCAAGCAGAGGGGTGGTGAAGCTTTGCTTTCCTTTTGTCATGTGTTACTATTGCTGTTTTATTTCTGAGAATTCACACCAATACTGTATTCTGTCAATGAATAAGTTATTTATATTGGATATATCTAGTAATAGCAAAGAAGGTTGCATGAGGATCAGTGAGCAGAGCCAGAACAAATACCTTGCTGAAGCGATGGGCCACAGAGGAGAACTGACGGAGCTCCAGAGACGATTCATCATCATTTGTTTCATCATCTTCATCTGAGCCTAGGTGACAGTAGCGCTCCGATCGAGCTGTAGAATTTGAATGACATTAAAACATTTGAAAAAATAGTTTTTATCTGAATTGACATTAAAATTCAGACATCCGATTATCATAGTAATGCATCCCGCTTCACGAAAAGCCTGTATGTGTATTTGTGAATGAATCCACCTACTGTCAAAGTAACTAGTATCCTCGTCAGTCTCTAGTTGAGGTATAAATTCAGCTTTCTGCCTCAGGAGCCCGTTCCAGTCCAGACCCAGGAAGAACATGTGCATCTTCACTTCAGTTGTTCCACCTGGAAAAGGCATTTACCACAGTTTACAGCTAATCCTCTGCCAAAATGTGAGGAGAACCTCCTTTGACACCAGACTATATCAGTTTGTTATAAAAACATTCAGTTTAATCATTAGATTATTTTCATGTAGAGCTGCAACTGGAGAATTAATTAGAATTCATTTGATGGCTATTTTCTTTTATTGGTCTGTTCAATAAAATATTAGAGAACATGAAAAAAAGCTACTGTCATCAAATATCTTGTTTCTTCCATGTCAAAATATATAATGTAAGACCAAGAAAAACAGTGAGTTGTCACATTTGAGAGCCAACAATCATCACACGTTGAATATTTTTGCTTGAAAAATCACATAATCCTTTGATTTCTTCACAAAATAGTTGCCTACTGAAAAGGGTGCTTTATTAACTCAATTTCTATGGAATATAGTCATAAGACTTGCTTTACTTTCCAGCACCAGAGCTGAGGTATGTCGTTTATAATGTATGTCAATAAGCAACTTAAAATGTTATCCAAACATTCTCCACATCTGACTTGTTCTGAAATCCATTTCCAGTGGGATGCCTCGTGTCATTGGTACCAAAACCGAAGAGGTCTCAGTGACAAAAAATCCCCCCCCCCTCAGTCTAACTACCACCAACCTGTTCCCAGACGCTCCAGAGGACTCTGTCTCAGTAGTCTAGTGATAAGGTCCTGCGCATCAGCAGGCAGAGCGTCCTCCCCGTCAGGCCAGATGATGTCATCTGGACAAAGAAGCACAATCCAGTTCCATCTATAATATGAAGACAAAAATAAACTTGCAAGGAGCAACAATGCATTCACTGGCTCTCTTACCATTTACCACCTGACCAAAAAGCTGCTCTGGTGTGTCTCCAAAGAAAGGCACACAGCCCACTAGGAACTCATAGAGAATGATGCCCATGGCCCACCAGTCCACAGGTTTTCCATAACCCTGCCTCAGGATCACCTCAGGAGCGATGTACTCTGGAGTCCCACAGACCTGCAGAGAGCGAAAAGAGCAGAACAGATGTGAGGTAAACTCAAGAACACAACTGAAAGAATGGGGAGAGGATGATATGAGAGGAGACAAACCTGTTTGTCAATGAACTCTCTGGTGTCTTTCTCAATGTGTCCTTCATACAAGTTGGTCGTCATGTTCATAAGACCAATTTTAGACAGTCCAAAGTCTGTCAGCTTAATGTGGCCCATGGAGGTGATTAACAAACTAGAAGGGAAGGAAACACAAAAATGTGTCTCAGATTCAGTAAAAAAAACATTAAAGGCAGAATATTTCAGAGAATTCTGCTCCAACTTCAGAAAGACTTGGTGTTAAAAAATGATGGTTAATCCAAAATGATGAGAGCTTGAAAGGAATGAGCTGCTGCATGAGAGCAAAGAGAGAAGATATGAAAAATGTGTGAGGCTGTTTTATCTTTTGAGAGTGGCTGGAGACATACTTGTCAGGTTTGAGGTCTCTGTGTACGATGCCGTAGTTGTGAAGGTACTCCAGCGCCAGGACGGTCTCTGCGAAATACATCCGCGCCATGTCCACAGGCAGAGGACCAATGTTCTTCAATAGGTTTGCACAGTCCCCACCTTAAAGGAGAAAGGAGGCCAACATGAGCTCTGTCAGATCAGTGTGAAAAACTTTGAATAAATGTTAGAGTCCAATCCAAACCAAGCCTACCTTCCACATACTCCATGACCATGCAGAGGTGCCTCCGTGTCTCAAAAGAGCAGAACATAGAAACCACAAATGGGTTTTCAGCAAATGTTAGGATGTCCCGCTCCACAAACACCTGCTGGATCTGGTTCCTTAGGATCAGGTTCTGCCGGTTTATCTTCTTCATGGCAAAACGTTGACGGGTTTCCTTGTGGCGCACTAGAAATACAGCCCTGCATGGAAGGAGGGAAATGAGGAACATGAGGGAACAAATAGATGAGGGCAAGACAGATGTGGAAGGGAGATAATTAGTGAGATTACATTAGAAACGGAAGCTGAAAAAATTCTCAGTGTAAAGTCTGTAAACACAAAAACATGACGACAAACCATCCTCATTTGAGTTTTTTGTCGTGCTTTTATTCATTAAAAACTCCTTAATTTACTGTCAACAAAGAGAGTGAGTCAGTAAAACGCAAACAAAGACGTCTGTCTGACTCACCCATAGGCGCCGTTGCTGATGAGTTTGATGGTCTCAAAGTCACTCTCCAGCGGTTTCCTACGAGGAGGGGTGCATGCTGCTCGGCTCTGAATCATACACGTCAGGAAAATGAGGAGGAAAATAACAGGAACTTAGTTGCTGCATCATTTCTAAAAAAGCATGAATCCATTTACTTCATGTCTTCACTGAGAGAAAAGCCTGTGACAAGAAGTCTTCTTCTGCCTTTTAGATTCCTTTGCCCACCACTGTTTATTCTGTGAACTCATTGAGAGTAAATGAACTACATCTCTGCTGTGTTATACCTGTGTGAGTGTCGTATCTCCAGTGTCATCAGAATCCTTGCTGGCCGACCTGTGACTCGGGCTCGTCTGCTCCAGATGAACCATCTCTGTAACAGCATCAGACACACAGATCAAACTCCATTCACCTTAAATCAGCTCCAATGAAGACATGTTTAATCAACTGTCAGCAATTATACTAATGATGCTCAGTAAAACAAAATCAGACAGCTGTCCCTGTATATATATCATATTTGGTGGCAGGTTTGTTTCATGCGATTCTTTTATAATGAGTCACTTAATTTTAATGAGTCAACATAAAAGCAAACTCCTCTACTGGAAATGAGAAAGGACTCGATTTCTTTGTCTTAGTGGGTTTGCCCTCATTTAAAAAACAATGTATACTCTCTCATTGTGGTGTGGTCATTGAGGTATAACCTTCAATAGATGCACATTTCAAGAAAGTAAATTCTGTTGAATGATTAGATCTTGCTCTAATAATGATGGCAACAATCCATCAAGCTCATTCAGCACAAAAATATAGTGCAATTGAAATTGAAAGCAAACTATTCTACCTAAATAGACAAATAGGAGGAGAAAAATGAAGTAGGAAGTTGGTGCTGCACCTTCCAGAGGATCTCTGTGGAGGCCGAGCTGGCTGATGATGTATTTGGGAATATCAGTCTTGATGCCCTGGCCGACCTTAGCTTGACCCTCTGCAACTTCCAAACGTTGGTAAAACTCCTCTGGATCAAACTCCTGGAGAAGAGAGGAGTGGAGAGGAGAGAGGAGTGTTGTGAATTCATTGCTCTTGGCTTATTCCAATAACACTAACAACTGTAATTATTACTGCAGAAGCTATCATTTCGACAGTGCATCATTAGAGTCGCCTGTCACACCTGCATTTGAGGGAACAGTTTACTCAAGGCTCTACATTGCTGAACATTATACAAATGTTGTGTCACTTACATATAATCACTACTTTGTCTGTGATTATTCTTACCAGACACTCCAGGAGCCTGGCAGGCCTGGAGATGATGATGAGAATCTTCTTGACCAGTTTGGTGATGATGGTCACCTCTTCGCTCTCTGAACGCTCATAAGCCTGATTAGGAAAAAGACAAAGACGATGGATTGAACTTGTGCCACCTCACGGCTCGTGCAAATTGGCAAGAGGGCTCATCCAGAGACACTTTACCCTCACATTATTTTTAGCACCTATTTCATCTTCTTACTTTATTTGATGTTGAGTCAAGCGATTGTGGCTGATATTTCCACATATTGCATCAATGCTTGTTTCTGCTTGCTGCCTTTGCCAGATTAATAAATAATACCTGCCAACACACTATTATTGAATCTCATTGTCTGCATATCTTAGTCTAACACTGCCTTGCCTTGGTCAAACAGCAGGTTCAGAGTCTGTGTTGCAGAGATGGGGAAAGAGTGATGTCAGCGTTCAGAGTCAGAGCTACAAGGTTTTTTTTAAAAGTAATTTTCAAACAGAAACAAAGCATCGTGAAATATAAAACCATAGGAGAACCTAACAAGCACAGGGACAAATTGAACCATATTATAATTTGACCACATTTTTAAGCACACACAATTTTTTTTTAAATAAACCTTTTCTGGCATTAAAAAAAATGTTCTATGCCAAGACAGAAAAATTATTTTCGAAATGTGGTTTAGTAGAAACTCAAAAAGTGTTTGTGCGGTCCTGGTTTGACTGTAGGATAAACAAAGCTGCTAGGAAACTGGAAGAACACAAAAAAGCACCGCAATGAGCGAGTGTGCAAACTATGGCCCCATTAGAAATGAAGTCATTGTAACATTATCCAACTTTCTGAATAAAAAGAGAAAGTCATTCTGCAGCAGAGGCTGTGATTTATTTAGCAGCAGCAGCATTTGCTGCAGGAAAACTGCTGGTGGAAAGGTCATGTAATCATTCATTACATAAGCAAATACTTGACCACTACACAAATCGATGCAATGATAGAAAATGACAACACCATTACTCCCAGTGAACTGGGGTCAGCTTCGAATGACAGCCAATCAAACAGGCATTTTCAATTCAATAATCCCAGTGCAGCTACAGTGTCGTATGCTGTAATGTCCCAGAGGGCAATCTGAGCTACCAACCATCAAAAACCCACTGGCAGTAAATTCAAACGAAATAGACTTGGCTTAGTGGATGAATAATTAACAGTGAGCAGCAAAGTAAGTATTTTCCTTAAACATTTACTGGTGATGGAGAACACCCACCTCGTGCAGCAGCTTCTCCAGCTTCTCCTGTAGCTCCACAAAGTACCTGGAGGTGACCAGACCTTTCTGGGACTTGTCCAGACAGTCTCTGGCGAGCTCCAGCAGCTGGTGCTGAATGAATCCCAGCACGCCGTCAGCCAGGGGCAGAGCGGTGCCCGGGGAACACTCTGCGATGATGTCGAGAAGCCGACCCTCCATCTGTGCCGTCGCCTGGAAAACAACCAAGATGGAAGAAGTCATTTACAGCAGTGACAGTGGCACTTATTAACTGTTACTTTAAATCCCAGTGGTGAGTGACTCAAGATTTTGACTTTGCCAGGAGCATAAAATCTCCTGTCCTGGTTTCCATGTGTAACAAACCTCATCCACACTATTGTAGATCATCGTTTTGCATGAAGATACATTAGCAACATTTTAAATACAGAAAGCAAAAATTTTAAAAAGACGAGAAAAGGAGTGCTTGTACCTTAGGAAAGCGTTCTTTGTAAACATGGTTCATCATGACGATCTCATTGTCAAATATTCCACAGGTCCGTCCAGGGCTGGATGAGAACCAGGCAAAAGATAAACAGAAAATGTGATATCACAACAATAAATACCAGACAATATTTCTGCAGAGATATAATAAATAAGTGATGGATGTCCATTTTGAGTCATACAAAACAATGGAACTGATGCAAACTGATTAGGGGATGGAGAGGTGATGAAAGAGGAGAAGTTTTATTACATTAAATTAACAGATGATATACTAATGTGGAGAAATAATAATGTCAATAACAAAAATAATATTAAAGCTACACAAAATCTATTCATGTCTTATCCGTAAATTCCAACTCCAAGTGTTAACGGCCGTCCCAACACTAATGTGATTCAGATCAGGTTATCATGTGCAGTATCCGTGACCACATCTGTTGTGTGCACGGGGCTTCAGTTACGAGAGGGCACCTTTTAAACTGTCCATACATGTTATATATCTTTGGACTGTCATCACGTGTTAAAAATAGAAACTGGGCGCCCCAATACATCGCACTACAAATAACAATATCGACATGACACAAGCACTTTACTATTTCTGGGTGACCACAACGAGGGCAACAGCCACCGTTTGCACCCTCTGAAATACTTCACACACCCTCTGGAGCTATTTTAGGGCAACATGGAGAGTCGTATTATTTCCATAGTCAACACATGCAGTAATTTAGATGTGTTTAATGGCATTACAAAAGTCAGTTACATTATGTTAGTCAGCTACGCATTTTATCTCTGCTGTTGTTTCTGAGTTTCTAGATTCTCATGTTTCATCTCTGAACAGCTGCCTCAGCCAGAGGTCACATTAACAAACCATATAATGTTTCTTTTATACATGTAGAAACATTCTTCCTGAGCAGAAACGTCTATAATCAAACTAGTTGACAATCGTAAAATTTGAATTTGAATTTATAATGTGCCGCTCGATCCAAACAATAACAAACGCCTGGTTTGATGACGTTGTGAAAACGCATTGGATCATTAGAGTTGTTGTCTTCATGACCATTGTCAATAAACTACCTGACATGATTCAGACGAAGTTCATGTTCATAGATGATGTAATGTTTTACGTTTTATTCACATTACGCAGAAAATGGCAATGAATAATCGTGATCAGTTACACATGACCAATACAAACTGCTAGCAGGGGGATTCTTGATAATAAGGATGAAGACCATTTTGTACTTGAGGGCTTGTTAGATAAGAAATGGTTGTTTTCTTATCCAGGAGATTACCAGTTACCAGCAGAGAGGCTTCCTCCAGAACCACATAAGATAATTTTTTCACCATATTCAAATCCCAAGTGTGTATTTTACAACTCATTATTCACTCTAGGATTTTCAGTGGCTGCAGCGCTGCTTACTGTTAATTTTTCTCCTATAGAAATATTTTAAATCCATCTTTGGGTAAATGGCTGTTTAACGGAGGGAAATGTAAACACAAGGTTTGGTGCACACTGTGTGTCTTTAGCTTGTGGAGCTGGTGGGATTTTTATGAGCTCCACACCTCTCATTTTCATTTAGGAGAGCAGAATGACGCTGGACCACAGAAGTGACGATAAAGCTTTTTAGCTAACATGATTATTATTTCACTGGAAGAGAAGACACTTTAGTTGAATAAGACAAATAAGAATTTATGCTTATTTTCCTTATCTTTTCTTTGAATTATCAAAGTGGTTATGTTTTCATCAGTGTTCAAACAAAACTACTGAAACAATTACCATGAAACTTGGTGGAAGGATGCGGTACGGTTCGGGGAAAACTCATTAAAATGTTGATGTGGAGCTGGATCATGGGGTAGATGCAGGAATTTTTTTGACTTTCTTTAACATTGTGAGATCTGGTGTTTTTCAACATTGTCCTTGATTTCTCAGAAAATAATTCATGGATTTAAAAAACTCTGGTATATCTATGGGACAGGTGAGTAGGAGTGTACAATCTGGTGCGAATCCAAATAAAAACCTAGATCTAGGGAACTTAAATGTGGTTTCATAGGGGGATTGTTTGGCCTTGACAGAGGTATGTGCTCTCTGAGTGCCATTCTAGTTATATCAGTCACACTCACAGCCTTGATGTTCAGCATGTTAACCATTTAGTTACCATTTGACCTACAAACTTAAATTAGTCATTTAAACACAAAGTCAAGAGTGAGGCTGAGATATGAAGCAGATATGTTTAGCATATTGCTAGCATACTGGTATACTGGCATTCTGCAGTGTGCTAATTCAACTTCTTTTAAAACTGGTTATATTAGAAATTAACATTAGTGTGTTTTAGTGGACTTCAGTGCCAAACCTCATGTCATCTGTCCCCTCTCTTGCTCAGCCTTAAGGGCGTCATTATCTCTCCTTCCAGTGCAGTGTTGTGTTATGGGAATGTTTCTGTAACAAGCAAACAGTCCATACATCTGGTGCAGTTATTGTGTGATTCCAAGCTACCTGAGACTGCGTGAGCGGAGTCTGACAGTGGGCGAGGGGTGTGCTCCTTCTTCGTCCGCCACGCTCTCCGTACTCCGGAAATGTTTGAACAGGAAGTGGAGATCATCTTGTGTGGGCTGGAAGGGCAACTGGTGCAATAACTCTTGGGAAGAAGAAGACTGGGAGGGAAAAGCACACAGGGGACAAAGAGAAGTTACATTGAGAAAGAATAAGTGTAATCACTTTAAATCTGTAATTAACAGTGTCAACTACTTACTTACTTACTCTTTTTATAGCCTACTTTTCTTTGCACATTTGTATCTATTACAGGTTTTGCTTCTGCAGCTTTGATATAACAGCCTGAGCTTCCTGTGACAATCACACCACTCCACTCTCATATATTCACCCATTATACTATTAATACCCAGAGTCTTAAAGGCTTTTGTGTTCTTCTACAGATCTGAATTAGATTGAACACTTAACAAGGGCATGTTGAGAAACGCTGCAGCAAAGTAAAACATCACAAATCCCACTTTTACTTTTAAAAAAGGGGACTCTGTGAGATTTAGTGTTCTGCTCCCCTGAAGCAGCATTTTGTCCGTTCCTGCTGCAGCACACTCAGAGGAAAGCAGCAACAGCTGTTGTGTTGGCCATGCATGCATTGGTTTTCTCGTTCCAAGCCAAAATATGTGACACGCAGCCTGGAATTTATGAGAACTCCCATCTGGCTGGGATCTTGTGTTTCACTGGGGGAAGCAAAAGGAACTGACTGACTGCAGGAAGGAGAAACGTCTAAAAGAGGTAAAAACAACAGAGTGAAAAAGAAACTGAACTACTGAAAAAACAAGAGCATGAAAGAGACAGAAAAGAAGTGATAAAAAAGATGGAGGAGAAAGATACCCTGAGGAGGAAACTGGAGACGTGTCAGAGGCAAGTGAGAGCAGTATAAAGACCTCACTGACAGCCAGCCTGAAAGGACCATTGTGCGATGAGGGCTGACCTCACTGACTAAAAGCCATGTGATTGGCCGTACGAAATTACAACCGTGACAGAAGAGCTGGGTATTGTTTTTCTACGACCAACTGCAGTTTCGATAATCGCCACAGAAACCCTCAACAAATAACCTTTGGGTGTAGCTGGGAGACTGGACACGCTCCCCTCGTTTGACTTTTTCCTGAGAGGAAAAGCTGAGCGAGAACACTTCAAAACACTGCACGGCCCCTCCTCGTTTTGTGATGTCAGGCAGGAAAGACAAAGCGTGCATTTCAACAAGACCTGTTATTTTAATGTTTAGACTTATTATCCCTGTACTTTCCCTCCGTCTAAAGTGGCTACGCAGAGTGGAGCTCAAATCAATTAGTTATGAAGTCATTTATTTAAGAAGAAGGGTCAGCAGTGAAACATTAACTTCACTGCACAACTTTCCAACCACTCTGAATGCCTTAATCTCTTTAGTTTCACCAATAACAGAGTTGATAGTTGCATTTTGCCAGAAAACCCACCACACTGAGTACAAGTTTTGTGTATTTAAATTGTCACAAAATATAAAACCGGTCCATCGTTAATTATAACCGCTCTTGAGTAAATAATTCCCAGAAAACTGTGGGAAAGGCATCTGAGGATTCATTCCCGTTTCCTCTCTGTGGTGGAAAGTGTGGTTAAAAGGATGACGATGGAAGGATGCTTCTTCACTGAATATATCCTGTTTTAGCTGAGTCATTAAAAGGATTACATCATACTTTTATCGAATGATTTGCATTCATAGATTTAATATCAAAGAATGAGGATGTGATATTGAATGAATTTAGATAAACAAATTAATTTTGAAGCAAATTGTGGAACAAAACAACGGCAACACACAGACAAAGAGAGTTGTAGCTAAAATGAGATAATCCAGTTTCAACTTTCAACTTCTATAACACAAATTAAATAATCTTTAGTTGTTGGGTAAAAGTTAAACATTTTTACACTTCATCTAAAACATGATCCAGGTTCAGGGTGTAAAAGAATTTATGATGCATTTTAAATATGTAACCATTTATAGGCAGTGTGTATAATGTGATGGGATTTCTTTTGTCTTATTATTGGCTCATCAGTGAATCCTGAAGTATTTCAAACTGCACTAACCTGTATGAAAAGTGTATACAAATAAAGTTAAATTGATTTAGCCATTCAGCACCATGAGACATTAAATCACTGTAAAGTCACTGATACAGGGAGAATAAGTAAAACAGGAAAACAAATGCTCTAATGGCATGTGTGAGAAATGGTAATGACAAAAGAAAGAGAGACAGGTCTTACAGAGAAAAAAGAAAGAGGGCGACACAGAGAAACAGAAAGAGACTGAGCTTACAGAAACTGATGAACTAGGTGCATTGGTGCAGTATCCAGACGAGGGAACTGACGCCACAGACCACCTTCGCCCGTCCGGTCTGCAGAGACAAAACAGTTGCACACTCCTCAGTGGTCACGTGACATTGAACATCAAACCTGCACGTCCTTTCTATAACTGCAAAATCTCATTAGAATTAAAAAACTATCTTCTTATGCAAGTCTGCTGTTTTCTTACCTTTCAGTTCGGGCCAGTTGGCTGCAAAAAAAGAGCAAGACACAAATGGGGAAGAAGAGGGGTGCAGAGAAGAAAAGAGGGGCAGGGTGAGGAAACAAAGTGAGAGAGAGAAAAAAAAAGTGTTTAATGATAGTCACAAGTCTAGCTGTCAGAGTGGGAGTTCTGTTTGTCTGTCACAGCTCCCAGCCAGTGGTGATCTGCTGCTGCTGAACACCTGCCAGGGTGCTATCATACTGCAGCACTGGGAACCACAGACACTTGTGTGTGACTCATCTCACGCAGAGTACACTCATAAACAACATGTGTACATACACATCATGACGGGCAGAAAGCCTCAACCTTCTTGTGTGAAATTTCCACTTTCAGGGACTCTATCGCCGCTGCTTTTCAGTCTAATATGGCACTCTGAGGACGTGGCCCAGTTTCTTTCACTGATTCAATCTGTGCTGACAAGAATGGTCGAATGTTTGCTCGCAGACATCAGCTCTTGGGGACATGCAGCTACATCAGACGTGATGCGATGAGATTGGATTGCTCTGCAGTGGGATCTGAGGATTAGTGAGATGTTTCACATGTGTGCTTTCTCATCTGGTTTATATCTGATATGTATGAGATCCATTGTGTGAGTAATAAAATAAGAATTTGATTATTTGGTTGTATAAAGATCCTTCAAAGTTTAAAGGTGGGGTTTGTATGTTTGTGACAACGCGCGGCATGTTACATATAAATCTTGCTGCTAACGTCGCCATGACCATCATCAAATGCTCTCTTGACATCTTGGTCAGTGTCCTCTACGTGTATGGCACCGCTTTTTCATCCTGAGATATTTGTATACTTTTTGTTTTTACAATTTTGCGTTAGAAACATAATCAACACGCTCACTCGCTTGTGGTGAATCCTCCAGAGGATCTCCTGCTGTATTCTCACATTAGCTCACTCTTACATTCTCATGTGTTCACTAAAGGGGGCTAGCAGGAGAAACTACGGAGTATGTCCGCAGCCTCTGTCTCAGACATTTGCGTTTTCACATCCAGCCCCTCTGGAGAATATAAGGAGATTATCTGAAGGTCAGTGCATGCCTGAAAGCTGAATAACCAAATGGCCTAACTGTGTGTATCCTGCCCGTGCTCTCACTGCGAATGACTGGCCAGAAAAACTGCTGAAACAGAGACGATAGCCAGAAGTTAGCTACATGTCAAGGAAAAGTCATCTTGGAACATTTGATGATGGGAGGGGGTGGGATGTATTGGTTGCATATTTAAGTGTAGCCTGCTCTATTTAAGGATTACCAACTTTAAGGGGAAGATAACATTAAAATACGGTTTTTAATTGATGTTAGAATAAAAACTTTGTGTAAAAGGAGAAAAAAACTATTGTGGACCTGTTTGTGGGCAGTCCACACACCCGTAATAAAAAAAAGCATTTTCAATGTCTAAAAGGGAGCTGCAATTAAACCCGTGTGCCTCTCCCTTGGGATTGTTCTTTACCATGGTTTTACTTCACTTGCATCAAAAGGACTTTTTTTTATTACGCAGTGATTTGGGCTATTCCATGTTTACATGAATAAAAAACGACCACAAGCCGCAGGGCTATACAGCTTGTGCGAATAACAAATAAACCCAGCAGAGATATGAAAAGTGCAGCCACAGCATCCGTCTACACACTGGCAGCTTAAAAAGTCTCAATAAATTTAGATGAGTCATGCAGCCGATTCTACCAGGAGACATCCCCTCTCCATCCCTGAGCTTATGGTGCAATATGCTACTGCACTGCAACAATAAATGCCAATTTAGAATACATGATAGATCAGATAAGCAGCATAAACATACATTGTAAGTAGATTCAGTCAGACAGACGCAACATATTGGTGAAGTTTATACTGTATGTATGTATTATTAACTCCTTCAGAGTGAGCCCACACGCTGGTGTTTTTATGCCACAATCTCCTCAATGGCAAGTAAATAACACACAATTTCTCCTCAAGGATGCCAGTTGTATACACTGTTCCTTCCCAGAGAGTCTATAAACAGTTGCAAGAAGCGTGATGAGAGGGCAAGCTGCAAACCTTTTCTGGTCTGAGCAAATAGTTTGTATGTGTGTGTGTGCACACAGACTTGCCACATTATTTGCCTCAACAAATGCCAAGAACCAATTCAAGCAAGTGGCCCTGGGGCCTTTCGGCTGATTGGACTTGCTTCTCCCATTCCCTCATTTCTACTATTTCTACTATGCAGTTTTATCAGATAAACTGTTTTAGCTGTTTTCTGGTAGGATTCAGAGATCTAAAAATGTTATATCTTGAATGATCATAAAGATGTGATAAGATTGCGAAATTGTATGACATTTACACTCGATATAGCCAACTAATGTGGCTCCATACGTTTACAAACCAAGAGAAAGAGTTCCTACTATATGGCTGTGCTGATTGACCAAATCATGTCATCTTTCATGCATGAGGTACAGTGCATTTGACAATTAAACATGAACTAGCAGCATGATAGAAGAGGAGCTGGTGCCAAACAAGGAACCGACCTCGACAGTGGTTCTGGAGAAATTGCGACACATCTTTTCAACCACCTCACAAGGAAGAGTGTGATGGATCATATGCAACTGCAGCAGCAGCAGCTGAATAATCGTTTAAAGCAGCAAATGAAGAAAAAAGGTGACTGAGACGGTCATATTATGTTGAGCTCTGGATATGGTGAATCATGGACAATGAGGGTTTTTAAGATATTGATGCAGGGCCTTTTTGAAAACACTCTTTAAAGGTAGGGTTGGTAAGTTGCTTCAGAAACACTTTTCATTTGTTGAAATCCTAGCCCCATAACCATCAATTAATTAGGTTGTCTGAAAAACAAATGAAAAAAGCCTGTGTCTGTGGCCCTCGCAGGACTGTGATAAACAAAACCAATCATTTCAATCAGGCCGGATGAAATGAAACAAGTCTGTCACTAACCGACCCTACCCGTGCTCTCACAGTGCATGACCGGATTCTTCACAAGCCGAGGGGACATACACTGCTGAATCACAGACACCAAGAAGTTAGTGAGAGAGTCACAGAAAAGTCGGCTTCGAGCGGTTTTCAGGCAGACCTGCTCTTACAAGCTTTTCCAGGATTACCAGCCCTAGCTTCAATGCAATACTGTGTTTTAAATGGTTAAAACAGAAAAGTCCATTTGCTGGTTCAAGTCTGGATATTGTCATCAGTACATTTCATGGATTCATGGGAAGAGAGATCAGATTTAGATTAAGTTTGTGATCGTGATATGAGTTGGGTTTTTTTTAAGATCACCCACTATGTTTTTCTAAATTATGCACTGGATAGGGAAATATTACTGTAGTAAGTTGGCTGAGCTAGAAGACCTTTAGACCAAATCCATATAAATAACATTTATGACTTATGACTTCATTCTTACCTGCGGGCAAACTGGAAGTTGGCAGAGGTGCTGGCAGAGACATTTCTGGGGCTTTCTGAAGGGCTGCTGCCAGCTGAAGAAACAAAAACAAGCTGTTACAGCAGTTGATCCTAAACTGTATGAAACTATATTAGTGTAGCGTTGAATAATGTCTCTGTGTATCCCCTCGTTTTCATGCTCAGTTTGAAATACGCTCTGTGATCATTATCCTAAATTTTGCAGCCTGTATGTGATTTCATGTTTCAGCCTGAAGCTACGAAAAAATAGATCACAGTAACACGCTCCTAGAAGTAAACTAGGCCTCTCCCTTGCCTCAGTTTCAGCAAGTCCTGTTGTCGTTCCCACAACATTACAAACTTTTGAAAGTTTTACTAAAAAGGTTTCAGCGCCAGTACCTGTGGGCAAATTAAAACCACACCCTGAATCAAATTTTTTTTTAAACCCAAGCAGACAGTGAATGCCTCTCAATGTCAAGAAGCTTAATTAATAGCCAAAAGGAAGCAACATCATCGTGGGGGGGGGGATTGTATGACCTATACACTGTAATATGAGCAATAAAAACTTCATAAACACCACAGGAAAACCATGTGACATGCAGCATCAAAACAAACACAAGGCTGAAGGCACAGTGTTCTCCTGTCACATGTTTTCTGTGCAATCATATCTATATACAGTAGGCCCTATGAACCAAAGTGTAATTGCCACAACAACAAGAGCAGATACGCAACCGAACAACAACACACAAGTACCTGTGGCGAGTGGGAGAGGTGAGAGCGGTCGTGAGAGTGTGGGCGACGGGGTCCCGACCGCTAAACTCCTTCTCTTGTTGTTACGGGAACTGTGAGAGGAGGAAAAACATACAGATGAGATAAAACATTTGCTTGTGCAGTTCGGAACATAATCACCCAGAGGCACATGCTGTTTATCATTCTTTCTTCAGTGCAGTGTACGGTCATGTAAAATAAAACCATAGTCAAAATACAAACTCCAGTTGTTGATCGTGGAAAACACTGATGGCAGTGATGGTAAAAGCAACAGTGTGTACATACACACACTTGTAGCTACAAACATGTATATATGTAAACACACCTTGAGTATGTAGTGTGTTACTTTGAGTTTTCCTCCTGTTCTACTCAGAAACACACACCAAACAACGGAATACCTCGAAGTAAAATGAACATTCATTAAGTAATGAGAAGTATGAAGTATTTGCTTTGTTATTACACCAAAGTAGTAATGACTACCCATTGATCTCTGCTGGAATTTCCACGTAAGAATATGAGAAACCTCTGTTGATTGAGAGCTGCTGATGTTATATCACAGACTCACTTGGTTTTTACACAAGAATGCAGAGAAGCAGGGGGACCCAGTGACTTCTGTGACATAACATAGAGCCTGTACCATTACAGATCCATCACCACACATGAATTCAATCTGTGAGTGTAAACACAAACCGATCCATAGACACCGATTATCAACAGTCAGATTGATCTTGCATTAGAGTTAATGCAAGATCTTTTCTGAACATGTCACCTCTGCTAAAAGCTCATGCTGCACAGTTTCATAGAGAGTATCAAAGAGGTGTGGTTTAGTGCTTTTTGATTGTTAGTGATGTTTAAATAAAAACTGGTTTCGTTTTGCTCTGCTGGTTGACTTCAACTTGCAACTGGTGTGCCTCTTCCTCTGTTCCTCTCTGTGCAGACCTGCAGAGAAGCTGCAGATAGAACTCTAGCCCGACCATTCATCTGTTCCCCAACAAAAATCTCTACAGGCGTTTATGTTTGCTGATCTGAAAGTGTTTACAGAACAAACAATACAGACAGCATCTGCATCTATGTGAACATTTTAAGTAAAAATCTATTTATTTTCATAACTCAAGTTCAATATATTTGGTCGTATCATGATTTATTTTTATTTATAGTGATCAATAATAAAGTTTGTACTTGAGATGTTAAATATAAAGCCTCAACTATATTGCTTTGTTATAGGTGTTTGATAACATCATTACTACATCTTAGGAATCATTGCAGATCTTTATCTACTGCAGAAATGTTTTACTCCCTAACATCCACCTCAGTCTCTATAGTACTAAACCTAAATGGCTTTTCTTTGACTGTGCCCCACCCACACAGATGCCAGTGAGATTATGATTCAATTAATCTAAAGACCAAACGCTAATAGTGGTTTGGTATGTATGGTGCCTTCAGCCGTCTGTACATCTCGTGCTGTGTGTGCTAAGGCCTTTATTCAACATACACTGAGGGCTCCTTTTAAGATTGTTTTGGATGTAATCCCATCATGCTCTCTGTTTCATCCTGGTGACTCCGATGCCATCTCTCTCTCCTCTTTCTGGCAGTGACCTAAAATAATTGAGGGGCTGAAACGACAACAGAGCCTGACATTTCTGGGTCGGCACTGAGGCAGATTCGCTCGGTGTGTCACACCCCCGACCCAAAATGTGGCAGAGGAGGCAAGGCAGCAGAGAGAAGAGAGAGAGCGAGAGACAATAAGAGCTGGACTTTGGCTACAACATAGCTCCCACCACATAAGACACCATGAGCAAACGCCATTTTATTCTTATCAGAAAATAAACAGACAACCCTTTCACACTATAGAGCCTGAGCAAAAATGGCATGAAAGCATCACTGTGTCACAACATGATCACGTGAGCTTAATCAACAGTTGGCCACGATAAGGCCACACATATTCGAGACTAACAATGTGGTTTGTTGTGTGTGTTGCAGGAAGCCATGAAGAATGATGACTTTAGGCCACTGAGATGTAAAGGCCTGCAAGTTTCACGTCTGCTGATGGTGAATGGGACGCATTTATTCACCAAGCTGAGCTGAAAGCCACACTGTGCTCAGTGGGTTACATGACTAATGCATGTTAGATGGAAAAAGTGGGTAGTTTGATTTTTTATCATAGGGCTAGGCAATACAACAATATCAGTAATTACTGCGATATATTTACAATGTGCAGCAATCGAACAAAGGTCCAATATATACAGAGACTAAAATAGCACCCGGCAGAGCTCAATACATCCCCGCCAAGGCCCAATAGTTCCCTTAAATTCAATTAAACTGCAACAAAAATGCACTTTAATAAATCATTAAATATACCTGAACTTTTCCATCAAGGTCACACTCATCCACCTGATCTGGAGCCACACCAAAATTCAATGGTTCTTCCTTGACCCATACAACATGCTTCCATTGTTGATACTGTTCATTTCTTATCACAAACAGTGGCTGGGTTTATAAAACATAAAAAAATGTGCAGTGCAGTTTTTGAAATCCATGAAAGAGGTTCCTAAGAGGACAAGATGTAACGTTCAAGGCTGCAAACAGCTGCTATGGATGAATAATTGATAATTATTGACGTTGAGTGACATGAAACTCGTTAACTAGATATAATTTCTGCCCATATTCAAAATGCTATACAGCATATATTTGAAAAACGACTGCATCTGTTTTCTCATTTAATTGCAGTCAATGACACTGAGAGCAATGTTGACAGATGCATTGTAAACAAGGATCACTGCAAATAAGAAATAGATCAGAAATATTGGTGGAATGACGAACAGGATAAAACTGATTAATTAAGATAAAATCTCTCACTTATGAGACACACATGTTCTGAGGCCTGATCGCATCTATCTCACAAATAAACAGCACATCTACAGTCCCACTAACCACATCAGGGGAATCGATCAGCGGTGGCACTGTGTCGTTTTATGCGACAGCTGGTAGCAGACAATGCAGTCTGCCCATTCACACACACACACACACACACACTACAATGGCCACGTTTCTCTGTCGGAAACCAAAACTAGGGCGGATGTGAGAGACACACACACAGACACACAGAGTTCTCTCGCGGTGACATTATGGATGTGAAGGGGACAGTGATGGGGGGGGGGGAGCACACGCTGCGTTTACGTGCCGCCGAGAAACAAATGGCTCAACATTAACGTTCAACAAATCGCTGCTTCGCTGCGGGGGAGCTGCTGATGACAACCCCAGACACACGGGACATGTTTGTGTCGAGGTTGTCTGCACGTGTGGGGACATTTACGTATAAACACACGTTATGGCAGGTTGCTGTTACCTTTTCGATCTTTTCATCATGGCCCCGGTCACAAAACTAGTTTTGTAGCTCGGCAGCACGGTCCAGTAGTAGTTCTGATCAGACATGGTGGTGGTGGTGACCGATAAAGCCGAATTAGATATGAGGAATCAAATGGGGAGCATGGTGTCCCAGGCTCCGGTGGAGTGGTGGTTGTTCCTGGTGGTGGTGGTGGTGGTTAGCTAGGCCGGGACTCGATGTCCAACAGCTCGGACTCCATTCAGCAGCTCCGGTACACACTGACCCCAGACCCGCGACACTGAGGCGGCGGCAGCGGCAGCTCTGTGGTTCCGAACGGGTGTAGCAGCCATGTCCGCTCCGCTCCTCCAGCCCCCGGTTGTCAGCAGAGTCTCCTCCGGCACGGTTCACTCTCCGGCGGGACGCGACATAAGACGGACGGACGCCTCCTTTCTTCCAAACAGCGAGAGAGTGACACAAAGTTTCCAGCAACAGCAGCAGCGTCCGCCGCGCAGCCGCGTCAGCGCGCTCCCGGGGAGGAGGAGGAGCTGGCGGTGCCTTCAGGTGCTACCGGAATTATCCGGTCATCCATTAAAACATTGAACCACCGAGATATCGAAAGACTCATCGTGTCATATCCATACTTAAGAGGAATATGGCAGTATCCCTTCCTAAATATGTTAATGCACAACTACTTTTTGTCAGTAAAATATATTGGGGAACAACAAGGTTAAAAATGTGTACCTCTTTGTTCTTTCTTTTCTTTGTCTTTCTTTCTTTTGTTCAAATCCCTTGTTATCTTTGTTGCCATCTCATTTGCTTGTTTTATTCTACAACACTGTCATGTTATCTCCACCATTGTGAAGGGGAGTGTGTTTTCTTGCTCCCTAGTCTTGTTTTGTAAATGTTCTATAGTAAAGTTTAGTCAAATAATGTGGTTGGAAGACTGAGGGGTTATGTGTTTTTAAGTTTATTATTAGTTAAATATCTATACATGCACTAAAACAAAAAGAGTAAAACGTACACAGCAGGTTGTATCATGGTTGCAAATGTCAGTTCGGCAGTTTTCAAGCAGCCTTGAACGTTACACCTCTTGGGGGCCTCTTGTTTGAGAGTGCACACATGTTCCTATAAAACAGTTTTTTTAATTTTAATTCAGACCTATTGTTTGTGAAAGTAAATAAACAGTTTAAAAACAGGGCTACTAAAGTGGTGAATCTAGAATCTTTTAAATCAGGGGCCATGAAGGGGCCACAATTTACACAGAGGGGCATGTATGTCCAACATCTGTGCACAATTCCTGATTCAGTAAGGCTTAAGCCATTCCTTATTTACTTTCAGCTCTTTGAGCGAAGCCACACATCAAAGAATGCATTTTAAAAACTGCTCCTGGTTCAAGCAGATTGTGCTCTTCAAAAAAGCTTGGATAAAATAAACCATAACAATTGCCATATTTATTGTTAGTATTGTTAGTAAGTGAGTGGTTTGTTTAGAGAAGGACTGACAGGACAGGGACACTTCAGGGGACATCCGATTTCCACTGGAGCCTTTGCCCCCTTGTCCCCTCCCCTGGATCCACCCCTGGGCTATTCAACATGGGGGGAGGGCGATGTGGCCGAAAATCATATCAACACAAAAATGTTCATATGAATGTCAAACACTTGAGAAACAGCAAAACATTTTCCAAATCTGAGATTGATCAATTATGTGTTATTCCTCCACACTGTGCTTAAACCATCTATAAGCGGTATATGATTGACTTTGGCTTTTTAAAATTGTTATTGATGAAAATTACAATGCAATAATTATTGTTCATGTTGATTGTTAATAATCCCCTAGTCCTAATTCATGTTAATTATTAAATACTTCATGTTTTATATTTCAGTAACAACACATCATTATTCCGGGCTACAGTGTTGATTTAGCAACCTGCTAAAGTGAACTGGCCTGAGGCATTTCACTGTCAGTTGGATATCTTTGGAAATGTCTTCTCTATCTGTGTCAATATTTTATAAAGTGGTGTATATTCCTCCTTCATTTACCTAATTTACCAGAAACAGGATGTCAAATAATCGATCCCACAGAGACACAGTTTGTCAAGGCCTATTCTTTAGTTTTAAATTGTGGAACATTAATGTAGGCTCCACTTCTTGAGTCACACATTCAAATTACAAAATACTTCAGTCACAAATAATGTTACCTTAATTTAGCTTAACTTCAAATAAACTAACAGAGCATGGTCTTACATGAGGTCAAATAGTTAGCGAAACTGATGCCCTGTCTCCCATCTGATTTAGAAGTGTTTGCTGAGACTCAGTCCCAACCCTTCCCTCCATCACAGCCTATCATCGTCTGAAATCATTAGTTAGATGCATTTAGCTCAATAATTTACTTAGGAAAATGTAGTTTGCAATAAACAAAAATAGTCTCTAACACCATTCATCCTTATACATTATATACAAATAAGAAAAGCTATTTATGATACATTCATCTCACAGACTTCCAACATCCAACACCCCCTCTCAGCTCTGCAGTTATTATGTCCCATGATTCTAATATGACGTCTGACTCATTGAGAGTGGAACCATTGTTGATGTCACTCTTCCCTAATGACAGTGTAAAGTCCCTGAACAGGTTAGTGACAGCAACAAGAAGTTGTCCTGACTGGGTCACCTCCTCTTTGAGCAGCAAGGTCACTTCTCTGTTAAAACAATATCAGACCATCCGTAATCGCTTTGTAAAAAATTCCCATTAATCATCAGATAATTACGTCTGAGTTCCGAACAGGGAAATGATGGCGGTAAAAACACATCACCACTATCTGTAAGAGCCTGTTCAGCTCGCACGCTCAGTAAAAGTATTTAAATACATTATCACTTGGAGATATTATCAACTCTGCAGCAGCAAAATGGAGAAAACTGGTTCACATATCACAATAAGCATGGATTTTTAGTAGCTAGGGAGGGGAAATGTATTGATTTCCCATTTATACTGAGAAGACTCCCTGCATACAGCAGCGACCATCAGAGATTCTTGCTCTCACTTTCCTCGTTGAAGTAAAACCTGTCTGAGCGGTGAGACTGCTCCGTCTGTCAGGAGATTTGCATTAGTGGTTTCACAGGTTGCTGTGTAATGGTGATATAGGACATGCTTCAGAACAATAAAGAGGACAAGTGACAGACACCTGGCTGGTCTGGTTTAAAGAGGAGGGAGAGAGGGAGAGAGGGAGGGAGGGAGGGAGGGAGGGAGGGAGGGAGGGCAAAGGTGAAAGAGACAGACAATGAGACACAGAATAGCTCAGTGGATAAGACTTACACATTTCCCCTGCGAGGAAGACTCAGTTCTTTCTGGAAAAAAGAGATGGAAAGACTGAATTAAGACTACGTCCTTAAACATATATATTCTTTTAATGTTTTATTATAACATTGCTTTGAAATGCAGATATCAGCCTTTTCTGTTGGAGTAGAGAGGGCTTATATATTTTCCCAGTGGGTTCAATTTGTTTGTTTGTTGGCTGGCTTGTATGTATGTTTGTTTGTAAGCAAGATTACACAAAAACAACAGGACTGTGTGTGTCAGGGAGGAGCCCACAAAATTTTGATGAGGATCTAGATCACGGGGTGGATCCAGGATTTGTTTTTACCTTCTTAAACATTGCCAGATTGAGCATTTATCATGTTTTCCATGACTTCTCAAAAAATGATGAATGGACAAAAACATGTGTGTAAAATCTGGTGCAGATTGGTTAAATTTAAGGGACTGTTGGACCTGTGGAGTCATTCGTGCTTGTTTCTGTGGTTATTAAAGCCCATTTTGCCTCCTCAGGATAAACAGGAAGGAATATGAAGGTTTTGTGATGCTTAGTGGTCATTTATAAAATGCTTTTTAAGCTAAAAAAAGCTAAGGCTTCATTGGTTTTCCTGATGGATTTCCCTAAATGCAACACAGTTCTCTGTCATTCCCATTTATCTTAATTTCCATGCAGTGTAAATATCATCAGATGCTGTATGGCCTAGTTTGTTGCACGACAAGTAGGTCTCCTCATCATTTACTGGCAAGGATACAAACCCTCACTAGCCCATGGCTGCTGCATTTTAGCTCAGGCAACTGAAAAACTGCACTTGCCAATCAGGATTTGAAGAACAGGGAAGGGTGGCACTCAAGCTTGTGCACTAAATCGTTTTGATTCAGTGATTAAACCCTTTCTCCCATAGGAATCAATCACATCTCAAGACAGTCCATCTCAGACTGTGAGCAACATCACATTTAAAAACAAGGTAAGGGAGCAGTTCCTGTAAACAGCACCTAAAAGATGTAATTAATTAAAATTAGAATTTTAGCTTTATCACCAATCAGACAATATATGGAGCAGTGCAAGACTAATATCATGTTGTGTTACAACATAATTGATTTCAGGGAGACGGCAGCAAACCTGAATAATCTCACAACCAAGTTAATTATCAGTATAATCACAGCGCCGCTTAAATCCAAATTGCAGATGAATGCAAGGTGGAAAGGAAACAAATTACTGTAATTGAATGGCAACATTGGATTTGGACGGATGTGTCTTTGATCACAAAAACAACATCACCTCCTTCATATCAGACCTGAGGCACAGGAACAAGGGGACTTCATTTATGCAGAAGCTAAAACACACACAGTGAAGAAAACACCGGATTCTTCCCTCTCTGGGTTTCTTTCTCAGAGATAAACATGCAGAAGATTAAAGGGATGTCTGTGCCAGTCATGCAGGAATTTTCTCTTTTTGTGCTGCTGTCACCAAGGCAACCAGATCCTCCTGAGCACCAATGGAGAGCTCCGAAATATAAACATACAAGTGGGTAAGCTGCTGCTATAGCCTTTACATGCATTCATGTCATTGTGTGCACCAATGCATATTCATTCATGTTAGTGTCACAGCATGTTGATCAGCACACAATGAAATAAATGATCAATACACAACAATCATAACATCTAGTTTACAATCTACTATAAATATAGTCCTTAAGGGGAGTAAAGGATAAACGGTATGGGCTTTAAAATAGATATGTAAGCTATGAGGAGCTCAGATCAGCTCCCGCACCCCCAGCGATTCCTGGAGAAATCCCTCGCATCGTCGCCCATCATCATCTTCGCCATCATCATCCTCATCATATCATCCCGTTTGCCCAGAAACAACTCCATCGTTGCCATGACAGCCGAACATTTACCTGCAGACCGCGGCGTCTCAGGATATTTGGTTCGTCCATCTCTGAATGTAAAAAAAAAGCCCCAGAGCGGATCCCTGGATCAGTCAGCCCATGCTGTGCGTCTTCCTCTCCCTGGGAGCGAGCTCCTCCACTAGCAGCAGCAGCACCAGAAGCCACCTGCTCCTCCTCTTCCTCCTCCTCCTACCCCGGGGTGGGCTCACTCGACCGGCCCAGAGAAGGTGGTGGGCACCAGATCACCTGACTCTGAGGTGGAGGGAGGAGGAGGAGGAACATGGAGCATGTTGACCCAACCCTCTTATTTAAAGACTGTTGACAAAAGACACAAAGACTGTTTTCACTATTTCTCTGCAGGTCAGTGGCCATCAAATACACAAACTCCACAAAGATCCTGTTATATCC